ATATTCATCATCTTGAAAAGGCCGCGCAGATGGCAATGAATATGAACCTTCTTCTTCGAGATGAAATTAGGACTCTACGAGCTGAGACTGAGCGGAAAACTAGAAAGAAGGCAAGAAGGCGTGCTATTCTAGGTAATGATACCCTTTTATCTGTACAAGAAGGCCAAAATCGCATTCAGCAGCTTGATACGCAGCTTAATGAGAAGCTTGATGAGCCTACACCTATGCCTCAACGGCGAGCTCCACAACGCTGCAGTGGCTGTGGGACTATTGGACATACCATAAGGAATTGTCCTAATAAATAGCTATATATTCAACTACTAGATAGTCTAATTTAATTGTATTGGTGGTTGAAAAGCTTCAAAATTATAGTGGGTGCGGCGAAAATTCGTCGCTCGGTGGTATTCGTCGCTCGGTGGTTGATTACGTTAAATATTGTCAATCAGGCCGGACAAATATAAATAAATCGCAGCAAACGATAGGGGTATACTCACTACGAACTACCAACTTCTAGTTGACGAGGCTAAAGACGATGATTATTAGAGAATATCAGAATCATGTGAAAAATAAAATTTTTTTAAAAAAAAAGGAAAAAAAGAAAAGAAATAAAGAAATGAAATAAAAAGAAGAGAAAAAGCTGAATATAACCCCAGAATCCTTGGTTAGTGTGAGGGTGGATATAGCCATCCCTCCTTTAACCTGGATTTAAACTTTTTATTTCATTCACATTCACGGTGAAAATCCCCTGAACTCCCAGTAATCTCTCTGACAATAATATAATATCTTCTCATTTCGAGCTCAGCCATGGATGGATTCAACAGACAAGTAGAACAATGCTCCAACGGAAGCTAGCTGATTTGTTGAAATAAATGTAGTTATCTAGACGGCGAAAGATCTAGAAAAAAAACATGAGAGCAGGTCTTGTAGTTTTGTCAATGGTATAGTGTATGTATAGTGTATATCTCTGAGAAGGAAACAATACAGGGGGTATAGCTCGGCATACAGAGACTTGTTAGCTTACTACATGTCCTTTGAGTTTTTTTTTTGTCCCGTAACTACACCGAACTAGGACCAAATCCATATGTTTTTTCCTTACTAGATGCGAATATGCGGGTGTATATATACCTAGGTACAGTACATTCCCGCTGGCTCGAATCGAGGAATCGAGGAATCCATGAAATTACTTCAGATGACTAAGTAATCACTAGACTTAGACTACCCTGTGTGGAGGTCGACTCTGTCGAATATATATATCAGTCAAACTCATCATTTCACCATTGAAGGAGGAATACCTTCACCAAGCTCTATCCGTTCCACTCGTCGTCAACTGTGAGGGTCTGTGTCTGCAAAGGACCTTGAATTTGCACTGGCGCACTTTACATGTATATTATATCTCCTTGGTTTAGGTCGATCTGGGCTCGTCCATGATGGCCCTGTCAGTCAGTTTGTCTGAGAGTGAGAGCGAGAAGCAGTAACAACAGGCCCATTGCTCCTAAGCTGCCTGCTGCAAGACTAGACTGAAAACATGATAACGTGCAAAGTGACCTGAAGATTCGAGAATGAAACTCACACATGCTCAGCTCTCACGTGCTATAGGTATCAAGTCCCCTGCCACCACCGTCCAGTCGATTAGGTCCCTTCCCCTCCTGGTCCAGTAAAAAAGACAATTCCATCATAGGTACCTAGTATCTATTGAGATGACTATTAAAGAACCCTGTTGGATTCACACATCCTTGAATTATATCGTCCACGTATCTACAGTACATACTGTAAGTGTATACTCGATATATATATATCCCTCCCACTTTTAGGAAATAATAAAAACGGCAATTCCCTCACTAAATCGCAGAAGAGCAAGTAAGAATACTGCTGCCAACCATACTCAGCTATTCAGCTCGTACGGTTAACTGGGCAGTTACAAGAGAGAGGCCCAGAAGTAGATAACGTAGAGAGAGGGCGAATGAATGGAGACAAGAACTATTGCGCAGCTAAGAATCCTTTCTATCAGATCCAGCTGGTCTAAGTATTACTGCATTAGACCTATATACAGACTACGAAAGGAAAGTACTCTTTTTGCTCTTCTTTAATGGTATTTCTTGGGTAACGGATCAATGGCAAAAACCATTGCTATAACAATCAAAATACGACAAGGGGAACAAGAGTTCTGCGCGTATCAGTTCATAATATGAAATGCGTAACATACATGCTCTCGCCGTAAAAGAAAATGACCCACCGAATGAAGGACCCGTGGCGAACGCCAGTGCCCAGAACAAAAATTCAACGTCGCGATGATTCGCCTTCCCCCGGTGATCATCCCATGGTATAATAATTCCCCTTTATTTCCCAGTTTCCATCCCATAGTCCTCCCATATTTTCTCCCCCGATTGAGTTGAAAAATATGCGCGCATCTTCTTGCTGCCTTAGACAGTGTATTTGGCCTTTGCCCTCGTACTGCCACTGTGCGCGCTGTCGGTGTGGCCAGAGAACTCAACAACATCCGTATCTTTCAGCCGCAGAACTTCCTTGAATCTCCGTCCAATGTTCTCCAAAACTTCCTTGCCCTTCGCGGCCGAGCGGCCCTCATTGAACTTGTCACCGGGGATGCTCTTGCCCACAGTCCGGGTCCACAAACCGATACGGTAGAAGCCCTTGCGAACGTTGACCACGACACCCATGACTTCATTGTCGTCATCGTTCTCAAGAGTCTCGCCAATGGCAGCCAGCTGAGCGTGCAACCAAAGATCATCGATCGGCACCGACTTCTTGTCCTTGAACGAGTAAGACCATTTGCCACCGTGTTTGTTTTGCTGGTCCTCCCACTCTGGTCGTACGCCCTTCTTAAAGAGGTGGTAGTCGGCTTTCAGTCCAAGCTCAGAGGTTGGTGTGATGTTGTTCTGCGCATGTTAGTAGACGTCGACAAGTACCGGTGAAAGCATCATGGCTACTTACGTAGATGCCCCAGAACTCCTCCACCGAACCGAATGTGACGACTTCCTTCAGCAGATCATTCCAGTTGTCACCCTACCACCATACTGTCAGCAATGGTAATGATAACAAGTCACGGAAACTCTTACCTTGCCACTGGGGGGCTTGGTAAACCACAGTGTCCACTCATGCATCAAAGGATGCTTGACGTTGAAGTGTTCTGGGTCGTGAAAGACAGTGATCATCTCTCCATTTGTGTCCTTCTTCTCCTCATTCTCTTCGTTCTGCTGCTGCTGCTGCTGCTGCTGCTGCTGCTGCTGCTCCTGCGTGGTCTCAGGTGCGGTGTTTTCGTCCTGAACGGGCGGGTGGCCGTTCTCCGTGGCCTCAGCCATGATGAACGAGGATCTCTGAGATGAGGCTAAAGTGTATCAGACGTAGTTATCACAAGAATGGTCGCTTCTCCGCAAAGAGGGTGTGTCGAGATGTTGAGGCGAATGCGGAGGCGAAGTCAATCGGTGGGAAGGAGATTTTTATTTTGCGGCGAAATCTGCGGAAAGAGCCAACGACAGGCCTTTCTTCAGTGAATAAAAGGAAAGGGTGAGCTGTCTCGGATAGATGGCGACAGCTGTCTCTGCTCCAGGCAGATTTAAGGCCAGACTCTCGGTGGCAAGGAGGATTCTGCGCTGTCTCTGAAGTGAGGAAGTGAGGATTCGGGCGTTTGGAGATGTCGTTCGAAGTGCAACTTTTCTGTTTTTAGCCACACACCTCTCCATCCAGGGTTGCGACTGGTCCCGCCTCCGACCCGCACCGCTTGGTACCTAACCAACCGACTCCGCTAAAATCCACTATCACAGAAATTCACTACATTTTGTAGTCTTGTACAGCAAACATGTCGCTGGAATTAAAGAGGTTTTCTGGAAGGAGGAAATTAATTATGTATTGGGAAAAAATAACATACAGCACAAGCAGACCGCGAATTATTAAAAGTACAGGACCGCTAACCCAAGACAAGCAAAGTAGTCATCTGTATTCCCATGCGATCTATAGGTATCTATAAAAGCCCGTCCGAACCAGCATCCGTCTATGTGTCCAAAAAATCTAAAACCTAAAAGAAGACAACGTAGACCTCGAGAAGACGATTCACTTGCTGTTGACCAAGCTCAAGAAGCAATTCCAGCCTATTAAAATAACCACGTTAGTAACAGCTCACAGCATCGCAGTTTTGAGCCCTGCAGCCTCCTCTACAGCCCCATAATGAATGTCCACCTGACTTACCCAAGCTGACGAGATTGACCACCAGGACCCGGTGTTCCAAAGGCACGATCGAGAAATTGGCCAATTGCACCGCCGGCCACAGTGTCAGGTTGGCCCTGTATGTCGGCCAAAACGACTTCTGCAACTTTTCGATCGGGTCATTGCCTTCCAGGATAGACATGGAAGACAGGAAGCAGAAAAGGTGTGTAGGCGTGAAGAGGGCCTGATCGGCAGCGACACGAGCGACGATGGTGGCAGCAGTACTCTTCAGGACGATGTTGCGCTGGAGGATGCCATACCAGGTTGTGGCAGCGGGTCCGAAGATCGCTGTAAAGAGATGAAGTTAGACATTATATTGGGATAATTATGCAAAAAATACGAAAAGGAGAAACAAGCATACCTCCTCCGTACATGACCATGCGGCCCGTCCGGGCGTAGTCGTGCTTATCAAAGCCCTTTCGGTCGACGAGCTGCTGAGCAAGAACATCGCCAGCTCCAAACAGCGCCTGAAAAAGGTCAGAAAGACACGATAAACGACATGTAGACAGGACATAGGAACTTACTGCCGTCGTAATGCTCGGGGTGAGCAGTGGCCGCGCGGCCAGCTTTGTCTGATACCTGGCGAAAACTTAGTTTTCATCATTGTCCCAGGGATCACTATCAAATCGGCACGTACCACCGCAACATTGTGGTGGATGACTAGTTATCAAGAGGAGAGAAGGATCAGGCGATTGCTCGTCGAATACGAAGAGGGAAGAAACTGCCGCGATACAGAGGAAGAAACGGGAGCTGTTGGCGCCATGATGGCGGCCTGCGCATTCTGATAATTATACTCCGTACTGTTCGACCTGTCCCAGCGGAGCTGCCAAGCTAGGGAATCTGCCGCTCGAGAGACGGGGAGCTGTGGTGGAACAATTGGCCGAGATTGCCCAATTAGGTTCACCGCGAAGCGCGCCTCGCTCGGTGTGTACCCACGTGAGTTGCGGCCGGGTCACCTGACATGCCCCTTTTACGGGTCTCGCCCGCTCCCCGTTTAGGTCTTTTTAGGTTTTAGGGTGTAGGGCATCTGCACTTAGGGCTTTCCGCTCGCTTAGCCCACCCCAAGGGAAATTTCCTAGTGCGCCGCGGCACACCTCTGTATTGCGAGAGGACAACCTCGACGTCGACAACTCCTCAACGACACCCCCTCCTTCCCGCCGTCCTTCTTCCGTCTTCAATCGCCAGATCTAGCAATCATGGCTGACGCTACTCGTGGTCGTGGAGGATTCGGTTCGCGCGGCGACCGTGGTGGTGACCGGGCTCGCGGCCGTGGTCGTCGTGGCCGTCGCGGCGGCGCAAAGAGCGAGGAGAAGGAATGGCAGCCCGTCACGAAGCTGGGCCGTCTGGTGAAGGCTGGAAAGATCCAGAGCATTGAGCAGATCTACCTGCACTCTCTGCCCATCAAGGAGTACCAGATTGTCGACTGGTTCCTGCCCAAGCTCAAGGATGAGGTCATGAAGGTACGGACAGATTTTTATGGAAAACGCGGCGGATGGATGGGAGGCACGGGAAGCGACAGATCGCAGGAGAGATTGGAACTTGAACGAAATCAAATTGGATATGGGACGGGCTTGTGCTGATGGTCCATTTCAACAGATCAAACCCGTGCAGAAGCAGACCCGTGCCGGTCAGCGTACCCGTTTCAAGGCCATCGTTGTTATTGGTGACGGTGAGGGCCACGTCGGTCTCGGAATCAAGACCTCCAAGGAAGTCGCGACTGCTATCCGCGCCGCCATTATCATTGCCAAGCTCAGCGTTCTGCCCATCCGGAGAGGTTACTGGGGTACCAACCTCGGTGAGCCTCACTCTCTGCCCACCAAGCAGAGCGGAAAGTGTGGTTCCGTCACTGTCAGAGTATGTGTCGGTGATCGAATGTGTGGTTATCTATATACTGACTCTGTATCAGCTGATCCCTGCCCCCCGTGGTACTGGTCTCGTTGCCTCTCCCGCTGTCAAGCGTCTCCTTCAGCTCGCCGGTGTCCAGGACGCCTACACTTCCTCTTCCGGTTCGACCAAGACCCTTGAGAACACGCTCAAGGCCACCTTCATGGCCGTCGGCAACACTTACGGCTTCCTGACCCCCAACTTGTGGAAGGAGACCAAGCTCAACCGGAGCCCGTTGGAGGAGTTTTCTGACGTCCTGCGTGAGGGAAAGAGATATTAGGCTGGGAGAAATGGCATTGTCTTTTTTAATGGCTGGAGCATGACCTGTTTTCATCATTCCTAAGACATTTTTTTTCCACCGAGCTGTTTTTCATCCGAGGCTGGGCGGATCAGAGAAACCTCCAAAAATAAAATGACTTCTAAATGACTTCTACTACGGTTTACGCGTATGCCAGGCTAGTTAGCATGAAGCCAGAAAAATGAAGTCCGATCCGAAATCATTGCCCTATTTGTTATTATACTTGATACCTATTTCGGACGGACTTTTTAGTCCCGAGACAGAAGATTCGTCCGAAAGAAGGTTAGCATTGTCCTGTCCGTCCCGCTCGCTGTGACAGATACGATACGACCTCTGAATGCCTTCTTTCTCATCGTTCCGTCAGTGTATGATAGAAGACAAGAGATTTGAGGCCTGCGAGCACCGCAGATATGCATTTGAAATTAGTATATGCGAATTTTCCTGAATATATATATTTTCTCCATAAACGGAGATATGCACCGATTAAACTATCCAGGTAGCTACCACCAATAAATATTGACAAATACTATTGCATGAGATGGCTATTAAAACAACCACAAAGTCATCATAACTTCTCCCTGGTACTGTCAAGTCGGCTTTTTTTTTCTTCTGAATTTTGAATCCTCCTTTAGGTTGTCTCTTGGTATTACCTTAGGAGTGCGGTGGGAAGACATCTTCAAGAGTAAATGAATATAACTGCCAAGGTAGGCAAGTAGGCCGTCTATGCGAGCCATTCGCTTCGATAATAAATACGGAGCATACATATAATGCATGCTCTCCAGGCATACACACGGCAGTGAAATACCTCGTCAGTCCTATCAGAAGAGGAAAGGACGAGATGCTTTGTAGGCATTGCTGCACTGTTCGAGTCCAGTTTTTCTCAGTAAATAGAACCATGAACATGGACAATGAGAAGCGCAATGGTACAGACCAGACTACAAGGCCTCCTTCTGGGTTCTTTTCTGGAATCGTAAAAGAAATATAGATAGATGGCAATGACAGCGTGCATTATGAAGCAATACTGAAGTGAACATCAACCCATCTAAGTCCACGTTCAGATTGTATGATCCTCTGTGAGCATAGCTGGGAGGTCTTCTTTTTTTATACTTAAGAAAGATGGGACGATCCCAGTCTCTGCAGATAAAGAGCCAGCCCAGCCCCAGCCCCTGAACTTAGAGTTCGCTCAAAGGTCAAAGGAAGTCTAATAATAGCTCTCCCTCTTCCAGCTCTTTCATTCATGCAAAACCCATGGAACATGCACCAGAGATGTGTGTACCATGCATTCTGGACCTCACCACAGGCTCCTCGCTGAGAAGGGGCATGAAGAACAGTGACATACCCCCCTCGCCGAGCAGCCTAAGCGGGTCTTGCAGTGACAGTATCAAACAAACAGAAAAACACGCTGGATAAAAAAAAAATCTTCTCCTTCATCTCTCACGTGGATCTTGACTCTCACACACGTGTCTGGATGACACCATCCTCCAAACAAGACCTCTTCTGTGGTGTGCAAGAGTGAGCAAGAGCAAACCACCAGAAATGGAAAGCTCTGAGTCTCAGGAGCCGGCGGCCCTGAGGGGAGCTGCCTTTTGGAAGATGCAGCATGAACTCAGGAAGCAGCAGATGGAAGAGGAGAAGGAGAAGATCAAGAAAGAATGGGAAGAAAAGAAGGCCAAGATGGCTTTTCTGGACGCGGATCCCTTTGCTGGTCAGTATAAGCATACTCAGGAAGCAGACAGACTCACATTAGAAAGTTATTAGCAAGACATGCTGACTAGATTATTTTTGTTTTTCTTTTTTGATGCAGATTCAAGCCCAAGAAGCGCCAGGGTCTTGACGCGCCTGAAGAGCTTGACTGATCTCAAATCCATCAAACCGCTCAAACGCGTCAAGAGCGAGACGGACGTGTCCAGGGCGAAACTGCAGAGGCGCCGTCGCTCCAATTCGGGCGACTGGCACTACCTCCAAAACGCCAGCTCACAGGGCCCGCCTCAGAGGCAGCAGATGTTTGGCAGACGCGTCTTCTCTTTTGGTTCGAAAGGCCGCATTCGTTCGCCCCCGCCATCGCCTTCTCCCCTTCCATCATCCTCGACCAAGCAGAAGGCCTCTCTCCAATCTTCCAGTGGAGGTAACGCCATGCTCCTCAGTACCCGCCGGATGAAGCTCAGGACTCTGTTGCCGGGCAGTACCAAAGCCCAGGACTATCCAAAAGGAACCTTGCAAAATCCGGCTACTGAGTTCAAGGGAGGCTCAGCCTGGATGGAGCTGAAGTCTGAGCAGCAAGAGCTGTGGATCGATCTTTTCTGGCCCAATACTGAAAACAGCAGTGACGAGAAAAATATGCTCAGCGTCGAGGAGCTCAAGCCGCTCTGCTCGTTCCGCAACCTGCGCGTTCTCAAGCTCACTGGCATGATGCAGTCATACCAGAAATACATCTGGCAGGCTGCTTGGCTCAATCACAACCTGGAAACCCTCGTTCTTGAGATGGCACTCGAACCACGCATTGAGAGTCACTTGAACTGGCCATGGATCAGGGGTGATTGGGCCCCTCGCGTGAGAGCTAACGATCATTGGGATGACTTGTGAGTGTCAAGTGAACTTGAAAAACCTTCCCTCCCTCCCAGGTTTTGTTCAACCAGCACAAAAGAAGTCAGACCATTTAGTTTGACGTCATGCTAACCATTTTTCTCACCATCTCTTTCTACAGTGGTGATGGCAACGGATCTCTCCACGAAGATCTCGGTGAAGGAGAGTACTTTGACAATCGAGCCATAGAGAAAGCGAAGCTGCGCGCTGGCATGATGGACTCGACCGTCTGGCAGCTGTCGATTGTCAACCTGACCCTGCGAGGCTTCGTCGTCGACGCTTTCCCTTTTCACTTCTGGTTCGACCCCGAGCGTCTCAACAAGATCACTTTGACCGACTGCATCGACGCGGGTTTCTACCTCCCCAAGACCATGACAGGAAGAGTCTCGATTGAGTTCCCGAAGTCAGCCCCCAAGCCTCCCGAACGGGCCAAGACCGGCGTCTTTGTGAATCTCAAAGAGCAGCTCAAGCTGGTCCAGCTGAAGGGCGGCAAAAAGGTGGCCGAACGCCTTTATCACAGCAAAGATAACACCACGGGGAAGAAACCTGTGTATGATGCAGGAGATGCTGGCAACAACAACAACAACAACGGGGATGAAGGCAACAAAGGAGAAGATGTCGATGACAAGAAGAAGCAGAGGAAGAAACGTATCAGCGTGTTTGGCAAGAAGTGAATAAAAAAAGACACGGAAGATTCCGCGATCTACCGCCATCATCATATTCGACCGCAATCAACGGGTGGATCACGTAATTATTACTAGTCTCTTCTCTTTTTTTCTTTTCTTTCCTTTTTGCTTTTTTTTTACGAAAAATGAAAATGCTGCAGGGACAAAAGGACGGAGTTGGGTTATGATTATCTGGGTGGACTGCATTCTGCTTGTTGTTTGTACAGAGTAACTTTCCTGGTGGTAAAAAAGTCATGCTTTGAATGGTATCTTCCACGTGATGGGCAACTTCCGACTACTGCTTACTGCCGCTCAGGTTAAAAATAAAAATAAACCAACGCATAGATAAAAATAAGTAAAAAAAAAACAAATGACGCCTGAAAAAAAAAGATAATAAAGCTCAGCTGACGGCTCTTACCGACGGACCAGAACCAGAAGCTTGACGAGATGTTCCGTCCAGAAAGAACATAGAACAAACATCATGGCTTCCGACCGCTGTCGATATTCTCTCTCGTTTTTTAAAGATATTTTCGAAATTCATTATTGGTCAAAATCCTCGTGGATTCCAATATTATTGGACGATGACCTTGTGGAGAAAATGCCTCGGCCAATGAAATTCAAGAAAACTTACACTTATTTATTTCTTTTTTGTTTTGTTTTGGTAAAACTGTCTCCTCTAGGACTGTGTTGTACAGAGTATTATCGGTAGTACCATCTCTATTTGTAATGCTGTAGTCAATAGCAGAGGTTTTTAATTATCTATGAACAGCCAAAGAGATAGAGAAAGGAAACCTACATTGGCACAAAGGGAGGTTATTGGGTCAACGGTTGTCTCACAACTCAGATTCAATTTATAAATATCAGAATCAAGTATTCTGAATTTGGACCAGTGTGTCATATAAAATTAATGTAGATCTAAGTGTATATATCATCAGCAACAACAGTTTGATCCCACTTGTCCACTCCACATAGTCGTTCACGACAGAATTCGTCATGATTTGGCCTCTTATCGTGCAAAAGCTGAACGGATTAACCCTAACCATGAACTTCGAATTATACAATTTGATTATTTACGCTTTTCCAACCCACACCCCCTGGTTACTTTTTCATCTTCAACTCTCCCTACCATCCTGGTACGATCTTTCGTCCTCGCACCAGTTGGTCTGACGTCTCGAGAATCACCGCGAATGAGGACTGAGTGGACTGATCTTGACATTTAAGCCCCTTCATGCTCACCAACGCGGATTGCACCCTCATTGCCATGGCCATGTGACCAGAAACCATCCACGTAGAGCGTCCTGGCATCGCTGTCAGTAGGACATCTCTGGGCTAAAAAGGGAGGGGATTGGTTGAGCATACCCTGCTTCCCTGCTGTCGTGGGTGAGCAGAAGCCAGAATCCGAAAACCGCTTGCGTCAAGATGTCGAGGATCGCCCAGACAACGGTCTCCGAGTCTAGAGTGATTCTGTGAGCGAGAGGAGAGGCCGCAAGGATGCTGGGTATTGTGTCAGTAAGCATGGAAAGCATCCAGAACCGCTCAATGCAGAGGAAAACTCAAAGCTACGCACATTGGATAGAGCACCATCACAAGCAAGGTTGCGCCCGAAAACGAGGTGAAGAACCTCTGAGTCTGGTGAGTTCGGTTGGTGCTGGCGCGCCCGCCATTGACAGTGATCTGGTAGATGAGGGTCATGTAGGCAGTGCAGGTGATGGTGTACCAGACCCAGCGGCGTTCGTGGCGCGCAAACGTGGCGATGAGGCCGGAGACGAACATGATCAGGTCCGCAGAGATGGCCACGAGGAGGTTGGCACCGTTCATGCCAGCCACCAGGGCCAGATTGATGATGATGAGCGGGTTCGTCAGCGTCCAGTTGACGTAGCGAGCCCAGAACACCTGCCGGAGGTACTCCTGCTTCGTGTCGGGGACATGGCGGTGGGATTCATGCGTGCAGGCGTACTTCCAGGCGATGCCATCCCCTGTGGCCATGGCCAGGTAAGCGAGGAAGGAGATGGTCGTGATCAGGGAAGTCAGGATGTGGAATAAGCGTTTTTGCTGAAACACGCTCTCATGTCAGTTTTTTTGTTGCCCTCATTTTCGTTTTACTAGAGCTTCGAACGTACCACTTGGACCCGGGAGGCCAGGACATAGAAGCAGAGGGAAGAGATTCCCATGAGCACGACCACAACCCTGCATTTAAGACATCTGAGTACTGATTCGAGACTTGTTGCAGGGATGATATCAAGCTTACCATAACGTGCGCTTGCCGGTGTCATGAATATGCTGGAAGACAGGAGTATCCCCAGGAATCACAGTAGGAACAGGACCAACACTGGATGTAGGAACGGGTGGCGGAATGACCGCGGTGTGATTGACCATTGTTGCTGATGCTGTTACTTTCTCGCTGACTCTTCTCTATCCAGAACCGTGGAGTGTTGAGTTTGTCGAAGAATCTGAATAAAGCTCAAGTGCGGAAATAAGAAACCATACAGTACTAGTGTTATGCAGGAAATGATATTTTATTATGATAACGATGATACTATTATTATATTTTTGCTTGCGGCAGAAGGTGAGATAAGAACTGAATAGCTCCCCATGAATAATAGTTAAATATTACCTCTTGACCAGGGTCCTCTTCCACCTCCTCATCCTCTTATCCTCGATGACGACATGTACTGCACCCCTATGACATTTGTCTGGCCTGTGGAACCTCTTCTCCCACTGGATTGGCTATTCAGAGCACCGAGAAGCCCTGCCTATTGGAAATCGTGGCCAGTATCTGTCTACCTAGGCAGCCTTCATTCTGATTTCAGCCAAATGGATGAAATTTGCAGACCAGCGCTGCAGAAGAGGATTTGATTGATTTGCGCAGGGCCCAAACCCCACAACGCACGGAGAATGACCAGACGCAGGCCCCGCATCTCGCGATAATTCATCTGCTTTATCAATCGAGGAGAATGGCAGAGGTATTGCCCAGACTGCTGTCATCGTCATCGTTACGCTGTTGACGTGTTGGACGGGCCAATCGGGAGTTTACCAGCCATGGAGAAAAGAAGTGAATCTCGACAAGATAAACCACGCAGCTACCAGCCTGATAACAGATGTGGCAACAAGCTTACGATAGTGACTTATGGGCAGAAAATGCTCCTCGTACTCAACGTCTCTGCCTTGTTTCGGTCTGTACTCTAAAATATGACGGGGTGGTTTACTATGTCTACATATAAAAAACTGGATGGTAAAGTCATTGTATATTCGTCATTGGTCAGGATACGCGGACGCAAAAAGGATTTAATTCGATCATTACTCATAATAGGTTTCCTAGGAAGTCTGTGAAAAGAAAAAGCAGCTCCTAATATTCCACGCTATTGTACAGTCTATGTTACAAGATATAACTGGTATGGGGGCATATATATCTGAGCAGCTGACTACTGCTCCGTAGGCGTGGTTTCAAGTGTTGAGGCATCAAGCGCCCGGACTACATCCTCACATCGCTCACAGAGTCCGTCTTCGTTCGGCGCCGGCTCCGGCACCACATATCTCCAGCACCGAGGACATTTCGGGTCCAGTGGTGCATAAACACTGACAGTCCCCTTCTGTCCATTCGGTAGCTCAAACTCTTCGGTGTAACTCCATTCCGCCTTGGACATGTTCGCCGGCCCTGGTTCGCCCTGCGCGCTGAGCGTCACTGAGGACACGACGAAGAAGTCGGGGAGTTCATCGAGGTACCGGTGAAAGACGGACTCGTCAACAGTCTTCTCAGGGACCCAGATGTGAATAAATGACTGCAGCGACGAGCCCATTTCTTTCTTAGACCGAGCCTTCTCTTGCACAGCCTTGATGACGGAATTGACGGCCATTAGATCAAGGAAATCTTTTTCGAGAGCGTCGTTGTGCCATTCAGATGGTGGCACAGCTGCGATGCGTCTGAGAGGATGTTCACATTGATCCTTGATCACTGCGGGGGCGTGTTCCCAGGACTCCTCAATGAGCATGGGAGTAATGGGAGCCAGCACCTCCTGCAAGTAATTATAGATGTGATAAAGGGTCGTCTGTGCCGCCCGCCTGCTCGGGCTATCTTCAGCTTCTGTGTAGAGCCGGTCCTTGATCGTTTCCATGTAGAACGCCGAGAATTCGAGATGTGCCCATCGGTTCAGGGCATTGACAGCCTTGTAGAACTCGAAATTGTCACACGCGTTCCGGCACGTGTCGACCAGATTCGCCAGGTGCAAGAGCGCGATACGGTCGATTTTATGCAGATCCTGGTACGGACGAACCTTGCTCGCATCAAAGTCTCCCAAGGCACCCAGCAAGAGCTTGAACGTCACGCGGTACTTATGCAGGCTAGTGTGAACTGTCTGGAGCACCTGCTGGCCGATCATTACGTCCCGAGTGTAATCGCTGCTTGCGACCCAGAGGCGAAGCGCATCCGGCCCGAGTGCATCGTAAACCGGGCCGGTGGATTGCGCTTGGTTCTTACCTTTGCCTTTCTTCTGTTTCAGAGGAGGTAGAAGGGTTCCATCCATGATGGCATCCGGGTGGATGACGTTACCAATGGACTTGCTCATCTTGCGCGCATCTTGGTCCAGAGTAAAGCCATGGGTGATAAGGTGCTTGAACGGCGCCTTTGGCACCTTGGTCATATCTGAAGCGAGCTGGTGGGCGATGTATGTCAGTAGCCCCGATTGGAACCATCCTCGGTGCTGATCCGTTCCTTCAAGATAGACATCTGCAGGGCGGTCACGTCCAGGAGACGCGTCCTCTATCTGGGTCCAACTGGTCCCACTGTCAAACCACACATCCATAGTATCAGTGCCCCGTCGGTAGCCCGGCGAAGAAGACTGTTGGAGTGAAGCAGGTATCCATGCTGGATCGTCTGGGTCATCCGTCCACCAAGCGTCGATACCACGCTCTTCGATCACGCTCATAATATGTGACACGCTCTCCTTCGTCAAGACAGCCTCACCTGTCCCGCGGTGGTAAAGGGCTGGAATAGGGACACCCCACGCACGTTGACGGGAGATGCACCACTCACTCCGGTTCTTCACAAAGCTTTCTAGTCGCAGTTTGCCGGAAGAGGGAATGAAGCGCACATCTTCCAATGCCGCCACGGCAGCTTCCCGGATGTCGGCCACATCAGCGAACCACTGCTCGGTAGCACGGATAATGATAGGACGCTTGGATCGCCAGTCATAGGGATACTTGTGTTGGTATCGATGCTTGGTGAGCAGCCGGCCTTCCGATTCAACGTACTCCAGGACAGCAGCGTTCCCATCTTCCAGGACACTCTTCCCACTTAGTCTAGCTGGGTCACTAGGCATTGCCTTGTCCGTGAACCTGCCCTCATCGTTGACTGGAGCGAACGCGGGAATTCCGTGAGCAAGACAGGCTTCATAATCCTCCATGCCATGACCTGGAGCGCAATGGACCAGTCCGGACCCCGAATCGGCCGTAACAAAATCCGCTGCAATGATCGGCTGTTCCTCGATACCCGGTCGTTGGAACAGAGGCCTGTAAGTCGTTTGACCCTGTAGCTCAGAACCCGGAATGGATGGCACAATAACAGGAAGCTCTTCTCTCAACATTTCCTGGAGATACTCCAAACGAGATTTCGCGATGAGTAGCTGGCCGTGTCTGTCGGAGTGGACAACCATGTACTCGAGCGAGTCGCTAACCGCAATAGCGGCATTAGCAGGAAGCGTCCAGGGAGTAGTGGTCCAGATAACGGCACTCAGCTTTGTAAGATCCACTGACGCGTTATCCTTCAATTGTAATGGAACTGTGACAAGCGGGAACTTGACGAGGGCTGCAGTTGACACATGGTCGTCCTTATATTCCAGTTCTGCCTCCGCGAGTGCTGTGCCCGTTGACGGCGACCAGTAGACAGGCTTGAATCTTCGATATATCAGACCTCTGTCCACCATCTCCCGAAACACCGCCAGCTGCTTCATTTCAAAGCCCTTGTCCATTGTCTTCCAATGACCCTCCCAATCTCCCATGATAGCCCAGCCGCGGAAACCCTTCATTTGCTCCGCAACAGTTCTCTCCGCCAGCTCTCGCGCAGCTTTCCGGATCACCGCAGCGCCGGCTGTGCCTTTCAGCTCACCCAACTCTTTCTGAGCCTGCAGCGCTTTGAGCTCAATGGGCAGCCCATGGCAATCCCACCCCGGCACATAATTGACCCTTCTTCCTCGTGCCAGCTGCACGCGGCATATGATGTCCTTCAGAATCTTGTTCAGCGCGTGTCCGATGTGGAGCTCGCCATTCGCATAAGGGGGGCCATCGTGAAGGACGAAGGTCCGGTCTGCAGGCCTGGCAGACCGCTGCCATGCGTACAGGTCGTCAGTACATCGTCGCAGATATTTCGCCTGATCGGCGAGGGACACGCGAGCCGGAAACGTCGACTTGGGTAGTTTGAGTGTCGACGACCAGGACCGCGTGAGCGATTGCGGCAGTTCCGGCATGCTACCGCTGCAGCATATCCTGCCTCTGGCTCGCGTGTTGCTCGAATTGAGGGAGTGGTCCTCACTGCAGTGATGATTATTGATTGATGGTTTTCAAGATGCTCCGAGAAAATGCATGACGCGGGTAAGATTACGCGATATTACCGTCTACGCGCTACGGCAATGGCCCAAAATGAGTTTCATCGGTAAGAACAATACAACAATAGATTACGCCTCTACATCGAGAGATAATTCCATTCAGATGGTAGCATCAAACTATAAACTATGATGTGTAGGTAGGTATCCATGAATGATTAGTCCAAAGGAGAAACAAAAACACATAACCAGACTCCAAGAGTCCTAGAATTCCAATACCCATCCGTGAAGACGCCTAATAAACTGTCATGCAGCTGACTGCCCCGTTCTTCAACACCTCAAACAACAGTCCGGGAAATCCAAATAACTCTGTATTGCCTAATCCATGGCCGCTATCCTGACCAGCTGATGCCGACCGGTGTTTTCCTGCACTGTCTTCCCAGCCGCCAAGGAATTCGACGCTGCTCTCTGGACTGTCCCCCCAACCTCGGTTGAGAACCATCCCCCGCTGGAGGGCCTTTTCCTCCGCGGCATTCGCGTAAGAACCTTTCCATACCTCCTTGAGCCGTCGGGAGACCTCATCATAGTGCGTTTCGGATGTCAGACAGTCGCCCGAAGAATCCAACAGGATCTTCCAGCGGCTCCGCCGATGGCGGTTAAAAGGATACGACCCCGGTACATTGCCGTGGACGATCAGTTTGGTGACAGTCAAGTGAGATGAGGAAGGTGGGGGCGACGGGTCTGGAAGATCGGAGCCTGGAAACGCAGGGCCTGGAGTGGTGGGGTAGGAAATAAAGGCGTCGAAGCCGTGGTGGAAGTAGTTGAAGAAACATTCAGTGGGTAGAGACGACGGGTCGACATCGGCGGCGGGAGAAATCTCATCATCCGAATCGTCCGTGATGCTATTATTCGACGACTGATCGGTATCCGGGGTATCCATGCCACGACCTGGAGAGGGACTTATCGGGCGCGGACGCGCGACACCAGCAGCGCCATGAATTGATATACGGCGGTCATTCTTGCGGTATATAGCGTCAGGTGGGCCTAACTCCGCGATCAGATCTTGCGGAGTCGTTTCTGAGAGCGTGATGCAGAACGGGGGACTGGATCGTCGTATCAGTTCTATTTTTCCCGCTCCTAGAACCCTAACCTCTTCTATCTCGTCCGGAACAGCGTCTCTGCCCTTTCCAATTAACGCTGGAGAGCGCGGATAGTGTGGAGGTGCGGTGAACAGGCGAGTGCGGGCTTCAGACCAGGAAGAGCCTTGGAAAATGGCCATGGAGGTGGCGGGAGATGCTGCGGAGGACGACAGCAATGCTACAAAGTCACATTGGTCTGACCATGCTGAGTCTAGTAAGGGAAAGGAAAATGCAATACCAGGGTATGACAGAACATAAGTCCCATATGGGGAGTGATCCGCCGGCGGAATATACTCTCCTGGGTAGGAAGGTCCAAACAAACGATTGTAGACGTGACGGAAGCTGGGCCCGGCATGGGAGGCAGGTTGCTCCTGGGGTTTCACGCTCTTGACCACTTCGTGGTTCTTGTATATAAGCGGGATTTTTGAAAAGTCCAGAACTTCGATCAGCCGCAGTCTCTGATCGGGGCCATCGAATCGAAGACGCAACCCGTTCGACGGCAGGTGTATAATGATCGGCTCATGGATCGGATCGGTGGAGGAATAGGCAACATCGATTGCGGGGTACGTATGGGGATGTGACTTGAGACGGCTAAGAACATTGTGAAGGGAGCTTCCCAGAGCTGTCCAGCAGCCGATTCAGTTAGCAGCCACCTTCAACTGGTATCTCAAGATCAGGATGGAGACTTGCTCAAAAAGCCCAGGCCCTTTCCAGGGAAGACCTGGGCTGCCGCTGGCATCCTGGCGGTTGACATCGCGGATGCGGGTTTAGGCTACCTGCTCATGACGGACTGGGGGAACTGCCGAGTCGACGATGAGCCGATGGAATGCGGCCAAACAACATATATGCACTGCCAGAATCACGACTACAAACGGAGAAACACGATCGTCAGTCCTGCTTCTTGGTATTAATGCTCTTGCGACGGTCGGCGTTGATGCAGTCATGCGGCAGATGATCATGTGAGGGGATCCGATGACATTCTGCCCGCTTTCCTCACCGCCTTCGCCGAGGCTTGGCTTTGTTTACCTTTTCCCTTGTTGATCCGCCCAAACACAAGCTTCGCAACACGAGCAGGGCTCCTGGTCACCTTCGAGGTCCACCCCCGCCGCCAACTTAATTGTTGTCCTGGTTGGATTCAGCGTGCAGTGCGAAACCAGGAGCTTGTCCAGAACACGGTTGTTTACAACGTCATACCATGCCGGGCCAGCAACGGCCTGCCTCCGGGCCGGCGACGAGAAGAACCGCGATCCGCCAGCCTTCGCGGCGTGTGGCCTCTGCGACAATAGAACGCTCAGAGTCACCTGCTGAGCCCTTGAAGCCGGCGAACGCCAACCTGATGCGCGTACAGAGATCCCCGAGCACCCAGTCTGTTGCCGGTTCCAAGCGGAAAGATAGAGAGTATGATCTCCCGACGAGTGAGGACACGAATATCCATGTAGTTGTGCGCTGTCGAGGGCGCAATGAGCGCGAGATCAAGGAAAATAGCGGCGTCGTTGTCGCGACAGAGGGTGTCAAAGGGAAGACCGTGGAACTGTCCATGGGTCCCAATGCCGTGAGCAACAAGACTTACCATTTCGATAAAGTCTTCTCGCCCGCGGCGGACCAAGCGATTATCTTTGAGGATGTTGTCGCGCCCATGCTGAACGAGGTATTTCTTCAGTTGCAACCATGGCCCTGCGCTGCGCTTGACTAATCATGACTTCTTAGATGCTTTCTGGGTACAACTGTACCATCTTTGCGTACGGCCAGACCGGAACGGGAAAGACATATACTATGTCTGGAGACATGAATGATACATTGGGACTTCTCTCTGACAACGCAGGCATAATTCCCCGTGTGCTGTATGCACTGTTCCGCAAGCTGGAAGAGACAGAACACACCGTGAAATGTTCCTTTATAGAACTGTATAACGAGGAATTGCGCGACCTCCTCTCACCTGAAGAGAATTCGAAATTGAAAATATATGAAAACGAGCCCAAGAAAGGTAGCAGCAATGGTAGCACCCTCGTGCAGGGCATGGAGGAAACCTACATCGATTCTGCGTCTGCCGGAATTAAGCTGCTGCAGACCGGAAGCCATCGACGCCAGGTTGCTGCAACCAAGTGCAACGACTTGAGTTCCCGAAGCCACACCATCTTTACCATCACAACATACGTGAAGCGAACCACGGAGGCAGGCGAGGAGTACATCAGTTCCGGCAAACTGAACCTGGTCGACCTTGCAGGCAGTGAGAACATTCAGCGAAGCGGAGCAGATAATAAACGTGCTGCTGAAGCAGGCCTCATCAATAAGAGTTTGCTGACATTGGGGCGTGTGATTAACGCCCTGGTGGACAAGAGCTCTCATATTCCGTACAGGTACGGAGTGCTACTTGCATGGTATCTAAGATGTTCACTAACTCGAGCAGGGAGTCGAAACTCACGCGATTGCTCCAAGATTCTTTGGGAGGACAGACAAAGACCTGCATTATCGCTACGATATCACCGGCCCGAAGCAATCTAGAAGAGACCATCTCAACATTGGACTATGCGTTCAGGGCCAAGAACATCCGCAACAAGCCGCAGATAAACTCCACTATGTCAAAGAAGACTCTCCTTCGTGAATTTACTGCTGAAATCGAAAAACTGAAGAGCGAGCTGATCGCGACAAGGCATCGAAATGGTGTCTACCTCACGACTGAGGCATATGAAGAGCTGACAGTCGAAAGCGAGTCGCGTAGAATTGTCACCGAAGAGCAGAGAGCGAAAATTGAAACTATGGAAGCCAGTCTTCGGAACAAAGTGCAGGAGCTTTTCACTCTGACGAGCAACTTCAACAACTTGAAGAAAGACAACGAGGAGACTCGTGCCAAATTGGAGGAAACAAACGATCTACTAGAGAAGACCGAGATTGTCCTGCGGGATACGAAACGTCAGCTCGAACAAGAGGAGATGTTGCGTAAAGCCCACCAGGACACGGAAGAACAACTCTATGGCATCGGGACGGAACTGCTGTCAAAATTGGACCAAACTGTGGAACATGTAAACGGCTTGCACTCAAAATTGCGTCGCAAGTCTGATCTCCATAAGTTGAATCGTGAAACTTGGGAAGCCTCGACGGCAGACGTCATCGATGTGACCAAGCTTGTTGACGCCCGGATGGAGGCTTTTCAGTCCCAGCACTCGAGTCTAGTTGCAGACTTGTCTAAGAAGATCAGTCAATTTGTTGCATCGGAACTCGATCATGTGCAGTCCAACCAGTCGGAGCTAAACGAATATACGTCGCGGTTGGATGAAGCGGAAACCAGAGCGAGCGAGCAAACCTCCAAGGCTCACGATGAGATGAATGAGGTTCTTGAAGAAATTAAGGTCCTGCGGGAGGAGGTCAAAGGGAAAGTAGGAGAGGGGCTGAACGGTTTGTCAGCAGCAGCAGAGCGGATATCCGAGGAGGTTATTAGTGAATTGACCGAGTTCCATACAGAGGTAAGCTGGCCGATGGCTTAATCGATGCAATCTGGTACTGACTGTTTCAGCTCCGTTCTTCCTACACATCTCTTAGGCAAGACTTCAAAGCCATCTTTGAGAGAATAATGGAGCATCTCGAGGCACAAAAAGCCGAAGTAAACGAGCTGCGATCACAGCTCCAGGAAGCAAATCGCCGGGCGATGGAAGCCAACGAAGTAGCTTCGACCAGACTGCAGCAAGCTCTGGAGGAGGAGCGCGAAAATGCTGAGGCTGACCGTGCGGATCTTCTGTCCCAGATTAAGCTATTGATAGAAGATTCCGGACAGAAACAGGCCGCTCGTCTAAAGAGCCGAGTCGACGGCATCACATCAGACATGGCGTCTTCCGGGGAGATGTTAGAGCAAGCCAGCAACGTGTACCACGAGCGGATGAAGGAGTGGACCCGTAGAGAGGATCAACTTATTGAGGAGGTAGCCAGCTCACGGGACACTATCGAGAATAGGATGGAGAAAGATTGGAATGTAAGATTTGTGCACGCAAACATCTATCTTGACGAGACGCTAACGATCTCCAGATTTTTGACGAGCGCAACGCATCGATCCAAAGGGCTACAGAGTCTGTCCACCAGGAGACTGTCCGGATTGTGGATGCTCAGATGCAAGGCATGGCTTCGCAGATGGAAGCACTTGACGACTTCGTCACGAAAGCACGATCTCAAAATGGCCTCCATCACGAGAGACATCTGGACAATCTAAAAGAACTCACCACAAGTGTGCGTGGGTCATACGCGGCTCTGCAAGATAGATTTACCGGTCTCGGCAACCGTGTTCGTACCTTCCAGGATGATGTTCTCCCGCAAAAGGACGTCCTTGAGGAATCTGTGGCACCATTCTCTGAAGATGTCCGGAACGCTCTCACGGAGCTTCGAACCAATATCGAGAATGCACCGCTCAAGGAGTACAAGCCAACCGGTACGACTCCTCCAAGGACCAGCTATGAGTATCCTACCGTGCTGCCGCGAACGGAATCACATGAAACTTTGATTGCGAAACTGAGACAGGCAAAGACGCCTGCTCTGTCGCCGCTGGATGGAGAGGAGCCGGGGCCGCTGTTGGGATCACCGTCGAAAACTCGGGTATACAATGACGCTGAGGATGAGGTAGGGAATCTCCAACCTACCACCACCGCAGTCACATCATCCAACACGGGACTTAGGGAGGTCGATATAAACGTCGTCGCGAGACCGCTCAACTCTAGCGCCAACTCCAGCTCTCCGGACTTGCCGGCCGGATCGAAATCCAGCCCTGAAAAAGCTATCTCCCCCATAGAAAAGGATAACGATATGGAACCGCCACCTCTGAAGAAACAGCACCTTTCCACCCCGGCAACCACAGAGAGCAAGCTTCCCCAGATCATCACACGTCGGATGGCTGCTGGGATGCTGTCGGATGGGCGGGAAAATGCCATGCCACTGAGTCTGCCAAGTGGTGGGGGACCTAACCATGGACGGCGGCTAAGAAATCGGCCCTCGTCCGGGTAGAGAAGTTTCGAGCGTTCACCATTGTTACTTGCTGTTTGAACTTGGGGCTTTTTGTTTGTCTCTGGCTGGTCTGCTTGGATAGATAAGATACCCTTGTTGAATAGATCAGGCCTCTCGTTCTGTGTCTTTTTCTTTTGTCGGAAGTCGAAGGGAAACGGAGTATTACGGTGCGGGGATTATTATTACAGTCCTTTTTTTTCTTTTTGGTCTTTCTGGTGGTTCTGGCGCATGCACTCGTTCAAAGAATAATATTTTCAAAGGTTTCATGCTGGGGATAGTTGGGTGTCCATTAATTAGTTAATTATTTATTTAATTGATTGTTCGAGTCGAAACCATTTTCTTTGGGAGGTACTACGTTTGCTCTCATACGGAGTAGTGGTATCTATTAAATCGGATATATTGTCATATAATAATTCGTCCCAATGAAATAAAAAACAAATGATAGGCATATTGAGGGTCTCTCGTCATGTATTATTCATGGTGTAGACACAAGAGAGGAAATACTGCTAAGGACCCTCCAGTTTGCGGTTTTGTTTGTTTCTTCAGGCAGGAAGCCTAGTCGCTTTTCTTGTCGTTCAGTACTTGGGCATATTTCCTTCTAATTATTACTCTTCTTGCTCTGGATTTCGATGTGATTCGCCAGATCCATGCTCCGCGGTCCTATCTTGTGCTTGTCCCTCGTCCTTGTCTCCGCTGTTGGCTGTGTCCTCTGTATCGCCTGCTCTGTTCAATTCCGGTCTTTTGAGCGGATAGTTCCCTCCTGCTTCGATGACGCGTCTCAGCTCCCCCATCCGCTTCTCGAATTGCTCCATCATCTCCTCTAGTGTCTGGTCCTTGTGGTCATCTCCCCTTGCAGGTACTATGTCCCTGGGCCCGGATGTCCCCTCGATCTTGAGCATCAGAGTTCCGCTCGATGATGGCGGAGAAGATGGTTCGCCGGTGTGGTGGTTGTTGAAAGTGTCGAAGGAAGGAGCGGGGCTGATCTGGGTGTTGAGGACCTGCCAGTCCGGAGTGAGGCTGTGAGCGGAAGTTATTCTGAACGCTGGACCTGCTTGTTGAGGTGCGGAGCTTTGTTGCTGTTGTTGGTGCTGCTGCTGAGCAGGAGAAGTGGACATGGACGTCGCTCCCGCCGCAGTGGCGATCTGCGTCGCCGTATCTGGAGCTGATGACGCTCCATGGCTATCTTGCTGAGGAGCATATGGCTCCACGTCCAAGATGATGTAGCGCTCCTTCACCCCTGGAATCGGAGGTGGCAGTAATGACTGTTTCCTGGAGCCAGAGGGCTCCGCCTCTGATCCCTCCTCGACGTACCCATGTTCGCCTTGTTCTCGATGATAACGCCCAGAAGGTTCATTTCCCGTCTCCAATGCTCGCAAGGCTGCCTCAGTAATCAGTTCCGGATCATCGTCCGAGAAGATGTAGTGGACGGTCGGATGATAGTATTCGGATGAATTGGCATCCTCTATGAGGGTGAAGAACGGCTTGAATTCAGGTCCCGATGGGTTCACCTTATCTTCCTGTTGCTCCTCGAGCGGCTCCGAATGATCCCCCGTCTGCACGGGGTCCGGTGAAGTTGTGGCATGGTCGGTTTGTTGTTGCTGCTGCTGCTGTTCTGACACTCGTCGCTCGACAGTCCGCGGCCGCGGCGAACTCGTGTTACCTCGCTGGGCCTGCTTGGAGGAAGATGACGAAAGGGTGGGGGTATGGTGTTTTGGTAAAGACATCTCCGCAGACTAGGGCTACATGGTTGGAATTCATTCCATGTAGAGGGGTACTAATCCAATGTGTAGCCTGGAATGATGAAAGGAGAGAGCATCGGCCTGGAGTTCCAAAGTTGGAGCTGTTGCCGGGCGTTGTCTGGGCGCTTATCGATAATGTCACATGACCAAATACGCCAGGCACAAGGGTCTCTATTTATACACAAACAGAAAGCAAGTGAGCACAAAAGGCATGCAAAGGGTATCATATATACATCTCATAACCATCATAAGCAACTGTCTGTTTGACTGGGTTCTGTAGAAACGACTTTGGAGTATTGTGCGGTCATGCACCGTCGCTTTGTTTCCATTCGAATTCTGGAATGGCCCGGTAAGCCAAGTATTGCCATAAGCTAGCAGAAGCAAGCTTACTTTGTCTGCACATCGGACACAGCCCTTTAGAAGATTCTTGCTGGATCCAGGTCAAAAGGCAGTGCTGTTATGACGGAGGAGGATTAGAATCTAGCCAGAGGAATGGATCGATACTGGAGACCGTACCATGTGAAAGGAATGGCCACATTTTCCGAGCACTGCACCAAGAATTTCCCACACTCATTAGCTTTCTTCTGCCCGCAAAAGTGATCAGGGATCGTCGAGACATACAAAGAGAGCAGTCGTCGCCAGGAAATTTGCAGGTGGGACAGGTGCCATCGAACTGAACGCGACAGATACCGCACACCTCATCCTCGGGCATGTCCCAGCGCCACGACGCGACCGCATGCCACTCCTTGATGGTAACCTTCATGGTTGTGGAGAGGAGGCGATGCGACTGCAAAAAGGAAATAGAAATTATTAAAAGCAGGAGAGAGATAGAGACAAACTCTTGTGACGAGGTGCCAGCAATCCTGATTGAAGGTGTACCAGATAAAATCAATGCTGTTTATGCGTCTCTGGGTGAGCTAACTTAAAAACGGCGCGATAAGAACCACTCCGCATTCCCCCCATCTACCCCCCTGCATGAGGTACATGACCATACTCTCTTTTCAAACTGTCATCATGGCCACGCATTGAGGTATAAATTAGCTCTGTAAAGCCAATTGCACAGCAGCTATGGCTCTTGCAGCAGTGCGTTCCTCGTTGAGACCCTCCCTGTTCCCTGCTAGAGTGGGACCCAGCGCCGTCACCATGGCGTCCCCTCGCAACAAGCTACATTTGCCCCAGCAGCACCGCCAGCTCTCGTTTTCGTCATATCTCGTTACTCCTCAGGAACTCCATGAGGCTCTGAAGAAATATCCCCCGAGCAAGATCTCGACGGCACCCCGCGTCGTGCCCCTCTGCGCGGCATGGTTCATGCCAAACGACCCCGAAGGACGCAAAGGAATTGATGTCTTCCGCAAGAGCCATATTCCCCATGCACGCTTCTTCGATATTGACGCCATCAAGGACGATGACTCTCCTTACCCTCACATGTTGCCTACGAACGAGCGCTTTGCGGAGGCGATGAGCGAGCTGGGCATCCGCCGAGACGACGAGGTGGTGGTTTACGATACCCAAGAGTTGGGAATCTTCAGCGCACCTCGTGTAGGATGGACTCTGAGGGTCTTTGGGCATCCCAATGTCCACGTTCTTAACAACTACAAGCTGTGGGTTCAGCAAGGATTCCCGACCGAGTCTGGAGACCCGGAACCCGTAGAGAAGACGAATTACCCCGTTCCGTCGTACGAAACCGACCGAGTCATCCATTTCCCGGAAATGAAGGAGATTGCCAAAAAATTATGGAAAGGAGGGAGCTGACGAGACTGAGATCTTGGATGCGCGATCCTACGGCCGCTGGGCGGGCACAGAGAAGGAGCCGCGGCCTGGTCTGTCGTCTGGACATATGCCTGGTTCTAAAAGCCTTCCATTCCAGGAGCTCCTCGATCCTGAAACAAAGACCTTTCTTCCTGCTTCGGAGTTGCGAAAGGTCTTTGAGCGGAAAGGGGTGGATCCGTCCAAGACCATCATCAGCTCGTGTGGAACCGGCGTGACAGCGGCCATCATTGAGACTGCGCTGGGCGTGGCAGAGTATGGGGACCGGGAGAAGAGGCGATTGTATGACGGCAGCTGGACGTGAGTTTTCCCTTGTGGTTAACCCCCTGTCCTGGTCGTTTGGACGAGCATACTACAAAGGTCAGAACTAACTGGTTGCAGCGAGTGGGCTCAGCGTGTAACTGAGGACAGCGGCTTGATTCAGAAGCTGAAATGATTTTATGAGTTGATCATCCTTTGTGGTTTGTCTGGGAATGTGCAGTTTCCGGCCAGAGGGCAGGAATGAGAGAGGCCAGTGACCTGACTGTTCAATGTTGCAGTTCTTAACACTGCACACCTTCATTTTCTGGACTTTTTGACTTGAGTACTATTGTTTCGTGTTCTCTGTACAACAACAATAACAGCCTTGTGCCATAACCTCTCTAGTCCAATAGTCGCATGCGAATGCTCTCCACGAGCCCGTTTCACGCAATAGGGATCTACTTTCCATTGACGAAGAGGCACAATGCGTTCAGAAATTAAACTGCAACCTCTTATTCGTTACAAGGATGAGGTATTGAGGATCACCGGTTTCCTCTTCTCTCTCTAGTTGGCCGCTACTGGTACATATACTCCGTAATCGAATAATCGAATATTAGAATAGAGCTGCCGCATATTGTCGCAATTCTTTGCGCTGTACTACTACAGGAGTGAATATCCTCCTGTTATAAAAGAATACGGATCTATAGTTCCAACAGTCGGAATCCTGGGAATGCGTCAAGAAGTACCCCGGATGGTCGGCGGCTTAGTCATGGCGGGTTCCGCTCATCGCCCGGGAGTCGCATTCACCCCATCTCTTTTCTCTCCAGTCAGCTTCGGAAGATTCACCTTTTCTGTATTGTCTGCCTCTCAGACCATGAGTGAGGTACTCCAAAAAGATGCTGCAGACCGCCTTTCCCTGTCAGTCTTGTTTCAACCGTGAGCATACCTCATCCTGTCCTCTTCTCTTTCTCAGCGTCGAGGTATCTAGAACCACCATCGATCGGATTCCTCATCGCTGACCCAACCACCAAACCCCCACATTCCCCTCCAGCCACTCTATCAGGTATACGCACTGGCTGACCTCTTATGCCGATCTCAGTCGTCGCACTGAAGTCGAGTAGCTCTCCGATATAGGAGAAAGAGTTTTTAAAGCGACTCTCTCGAGATCTCAGATCCGTACGATCGTTCTACCAATGGGGACCATGTCGACGGGCCGAAAGGTGTTCCACTGCGCTGTGGACGACACCGTTCTGACTACGAACATCAGTGAGATCAAGAAGTGGACGTCGAATGGAGCCATCACTCTTTTTGTGCCTCTCTACAGTAGGCTTGTCAAGTCTGACGATTTCACTGTCGCTGTGGCTAACAAACATGTCTGTTTCTCACTGCAGCCCTCGAACGCCTCCGAGCGCCGAAGCGCGGCGGATCTCAGCTGGCCATCAACGCCCGTGAAGCCGTTCGTTTTCTCGACCGCGTGACATCCGGTAAAGACAGCATTCCCCCCGAACGCATTACCCTCCAAGGTCCTATGGAGCAGTACGAGACCTGGGCCGAAGCGGAGAAGTTTTTCCTGCCGGAGTTTGAAGAAGAGCCGGAGGAATCGCATGAAGTTGTGGACGACGTTTCCACCTCCAAGGTGGAGGAAGATGCGAAGCCCAACGGACACGCGAAAGGAGTCAAGGATGACGATCTTTCGCAGATGCTGCTAAGCAAGCTAAACTTCAAGAAAGAGCCCGATGCGGACTCGATGCCTTCGACCGGCACGCATAGCGGACCCGCCTCCCGATCTTCATCTCGAAGCTCTCACACTAGCCCGGAGTACGCGGATGGCAATGTTACGAAGTCTAAGTCGCAGCAGACTCCTGGCCACCAGCGCTCTGCGTCGAACTCCTCCATTCCGGCAACCCCGACGGTCCTCCGGCCCCTGCTCAGTGCGCTCCTGTGGCGCCTGCACAGCAGTCCGGACACCACGGGCCCGGCTAGGAGCGTTATCCTCGTCACTAATGACCGATTCACGCAGACATGGGCTCAGAAGTTCGGGATCACGACCAAAAACATTCACCAGCTACGAACCGCTATCCAATACGAAGAAAAGGAGTACAAGAATCGTTGTAAATATGCTGAGAAGATCCAGGCGGCGGCGGCGGCTGATCCCAAACCGCTCTTCTCCTACGAGAATGACAGCGACGAGGACGAATTGGTCTTCGTTCCCCGCGGTCGGGGCAAAGGAGCCGCCCGGGGCGTCATTGGTCGGGGAGGAAACGGTCGCAAATCCGCAGCGTCCAAGCCTGCTGTCGTTCCTCCAGTAGAGACAACTGTGGAAATTCCAACCGAGCCGATTGATCCGGATTCTTTCAACCGTTCGCTTGGCGTCTCTACCACAGCGAAGAAGCTCGCTGTTGATCTGAGCTCTCAGGCTGGGGCAGCACGGGGACTCGCAGCTTCGTCTCGACGACATGGCGGTGGACGTCGCGGCGGTGGTGCGCGAGGAGGCAGCTCCGGGCGTGGTGGCAGTCGTGGACGAGGCAAGTTGTGGGTTCCTTGAGACCGGGTCGAAGCCCCCGTTTGGACCATTTCGGTTACAAGCGGAGGCTGAGTAGAATGTTTTCTCCTCTACGCCGACCATGATAAAAATCATAATGGCTCTCTCATTGTAGAGTCACTTCCGGCAGGGTTTGCACACGGTCGAGAGCCTTTTCCTTATGCGAGGATTCCACGGATGCAGTCTCCTGTGATCGAGGTCCGTTTTACGCAGCCATCTTCGACTCTCCCGAGAGAACCTTCCGACTCAAGGTGGAATGCTTACTGGGCGGATGGAAATTCATCAACACGAATGATACTGATATGGTCGCTCTCTATTGCTTGGAGGGACGGAGCTGTTTCTGTTTTACCGCTTTCCTTTCGTGCCAGGCATTGCTTGCATGGCCGGAGCCACCTGAGGCTGGAAAGCTGGGGATTTGTTTTTCAGAACAGTACCAATCTCCGACCGGTGCCTTGCCTTTTTCATGGGTCCTGATCTGACCGTAGTAGATCCAGCAGCACGCACGTGGTCGACGAGCAGGGAGGCCTGTATCAGATTGTCTCTGGACTCGAAGACATGGCAGCTGGATTAACTACCTTTTTTACATAGTCATCATCTCTTCTGCGACATGTCTCACAGTCTGTTTGTTGACATTACATTGTCTATTTGATTTACTCCTGATTGACCAAATGTTGCACCTTCTGGCAGTTATTATGCGTTGTTGTCTGTTGCAGAATGAAATTGACTGTTTCGCTACTTAAGCAAACTAGACACCGTAGGGCCACAGGAGTGTTTACCTAGGTAGGTGTCCAACGTGTCGTCATGGCAGCTGTGTTGTTGCTGCATGCGGCGTTGCCCCGCCACCTGGCAGCAATAGAGTTTGTACACAACCGGTGACAGCGATCATTCGCCTCCGCAGTATCCGCACGTCACTTGACTTGCTGGCATCCTCGATCTCCTCACACGCACCAGTCATCCCATCTTGCATTGTTCCGTCTTCTCCTGAAGTCATATTTCTTAACAAAGCACACTTACTGCCTCAATTCTAACAACCTGCATCTGTACATTCCCCCTGGCAAGCTCTCCTTGATCGAGCTTGGCCCCAGCTCCAACTTTATTTATTGTTAGTCCACACCTACCTAGCTTCCCCGCAAGCACAACCACCACCATGTCGAACCCTGGCGTCGACGAGAGCCCTATCTATCCCGCTCTTACGGAGCGCCGCAATTCGCTGGAGAAGCATCTCCAGACCCGGCCGGATTTGCAGGAGCTGAAGAATAGGCACATTCTGCTCAACACCAATGTTGCTCCGTAGGTTACCCCGCGCCGCTCGCTTACTGCCAGTATATATATTTATCTACCAACCATATACAATTGCACCTCACAATGGATGAGGAAACAACTAAGTCGTTTAGCTGTTTCGAATTGTGTCTTCTACAAACATGAATGTAATGCTGACTGAGTGAATTTAATGTACCGTTTCGTATCTACAGCTCCCTCCAAGCCGCACAGCAAGAGCTCGCTCGTCAGCGGACTTCAGACACCCTGAAGAGACACCTGGAACGTCGCCCAGACCGGGAGGAGCTTGTTGAGCGTGAGTTTTTCTCCTTCTCCCCTTCCTTCACGAGTAAAATCCTCTGACACGAATGAATGGACAGGGAACATCCTCCCCGCTCTCAACGCTGCGCCGGCCCTGCAGGCCAACGCCCGCGAACTGGAAAAACACATGCTCGCCGACAACCTCGAGCATAAGATCCAGAACCGGCCCCGACCGGAAGATCTCATCTCCCAGGGCATTCTGGACGAGAGCGAGGATCCTAGGAGTCCATAGATAGGTGCCATAGGAGGGGAGGCAAATATATATACAAGACAAAAACAACGAACAGATCAATCACATGCTGCCGTGGAGCAGCATATTCCGGTTTCGTTTGGTTAGTTATGATGCGATGACGTTCCAGATGACAATGGCATGACAATGGAATGAGATCAGATGAGATGAGATGGGTTGGGTTGGCGTTGATGTGATTTTTGTCGTTTCCCCTCTATCGTCTGTCCCGACTTTGCCGCTGCTATTGCTACTCTATTCTATTCTATTCCTACTCGATTCGATTCACTTCGCTAGGTTAGTGGTATGGAGCGAACGTGAACAGAGACCGGATTTTGAAGGCTGTTGAAGGGGGTGTTATCAGGGCTGGTCGTCGCTCTTTTGAAATTCCAGTTATTCTTTTTTTTCCTTTTTGGAAATTAATTGTTTCAGGCCATTGCCATTATCGACTCGCCCTGGTATTTTGAACAAGAGCAAAAAAAAAAAAAACGGAGAATCACTTGATTCTGCTCATTAATTCATACCTTCATACCGCCAGTAATCCTTTTGATATCTTCCACAATCACATCAAATGAGGTAAAATAGGTCAATCCCGTCGCCTGATCATCAGCAAGCAGAAGGCCCACGGTTTCAATATCAGGATCAAGTTTAGAACCTTTCTTCTTCCACATGTTAATCTCATCATACAGATCCCACATGTCTGCGGCAAGGATGAAGGACCCCGAGTCCCCTTTTTGTCGGAAAAAAGTTTTTTGTGATTAACAACCCATGCAGTATTGGCGTTGCGGTCAATGGGGTGGCCACGAGGCCTCGTCCCGTCCAGCTTGATCTGAGTCTTTATCCCATTTACCACGCCTTCCGTGACAAAGATGGTCCGTCCGATCTTGCCCACCACACGCTGTTCAATATCATCACTGGTCCGGTCCAGTCCCGCAACCACCAGGTCCTTAACCAGCGACTCTCCTGTGCTTCTGGTTGATCACCAAAGGACTACTGGATTCCCAGGGACATCGACCAGGAGGAGGGCTGGTTGTTTCGGAAGAAGCATCCATTGAAGTGCATGATGTCCCTAGTGATTGCGTTTGGGCCTTGCAAGATCCTACCTAGTCAGCAGGATGTTCCTTGCGGGTGAGGGAGAAAGGAGAATAGAATAGTAACCCACCTCTGGCATATTGATTATTATTATTATTATGAATTCAAGCATCCCATCCTCGGACACCCTAAGTGGATGCTGCTGTATCCGCAGCCGTAGGCGACTCTAATACTGGCTCGCTTGGTTCAACAACAGTCGCGCCCAGGATTGCGTCCGCAGGTGTCATGTTCACAACTTGTCGTCTACGATTGGGTTCCAGTTCCAGCAGCGCCCAATCTGACACCCACGGGTAGCCGCCGCTCTTGACTGATCAATACGCGGCAGCAAACACGGTCCCAAGTTGTGTATCTGTGTTGGCCAGTTCGAGTCTGGAGCGATACATCTTTTCTGCCAAACTAACTGGGGCACAAAAGAAAAAAACCTAGGTTATCTAGTGAACCCCTAGTATGAATGATAGCTGCCGGTTGGCAATTTCTTGGTTTTGTCGTGATTCCAGTTTAGGTTTCAGATTATCGTTTTCAGCAGCACGCTTTTCTAGGTCGTATTCTGACCCCTTCAGTATCCGGTGTAGAACGGCCAAGTGTTTCCAAGTGGAATCCTGGACCAGCTTGGGATCTTGATCACAGGGCGACACTACGGTGAACTGCTTATCCATAGCTCGGGAATCGGTGGGTCGGAGCATGTTTGTCTTGTTATTCCAGGTTTCTGGATACTGGCTGTCAGCAGGCACCATCAGCAGCATTACACAGGGCTGGTCGCATCCGGCTTACCGGCCGCATCGAGCAGTAGGGTTACATGGCAGTTGGTGAGTGCCAGATCAAGAATCATGTTCTCCCACTGTAACTGGATCCGTCTCCCTAGAGTGTCGTTCCACCACTTGTCGGCACTGTTCTCGAACAGGAAAGTACCCCTCCTCCGGGAACCCACGAGGAGGACGAATCTCCCAAGAGAACGTATGGGTTGACCTTGAAAGACCTGATGGAAAAGGGTGAGAAAGAAAGGGGGAATGAAGAGATGAAGATGGAGTGCCTAATCTTTAGGAGGGAGAAGCAGTCCTGGAGAACCCAAAGACTTAGATTGAGGCAGGAAGAAGAAGCTCAATCTGTGCCTAGAGACATGCTACTATTGTAGCAACTAAAAGGAGATACCATTCACTTATGGGAGAAGCTTGATGAAGGATCCATGAAGGATGCCCATGGCAGTGGCCAGAATTTCTTGACCAGAACTGAGCGTGTGATTCACTGTCTGGAGAAAAATGCAAGCGACCTCAGGATCGGGGCAATCGGATTGGAAGCAAACGGCAGACTCTCCCGGGTGGGTTCAGCCTGAAGCATACCGCCCAACATAGGTATGCCTTCGCCAGTAAGATCACGGTTTGTAGTGATGGCTTGCCTTGGCTGGCAACATTAGGTGGTTCTCAGTTATCCACCGCAAGTCCCGAATACGCACAGGCTGGTGGCAGATGCTCTATTCGGGACATTGCCAGCTGGACACAAAACGGACAGTCAGGATGCACGATCACTCTGGCTGAGCTCTGTGGATCACTGCCCTTGTATTGACCCTTTCCTAGTTACTTGCGCCGGTCACCTTCTCATGATGATACAAGAATACTGTACATGGCCGTAAACACAGACAAACCGACAAACAGACAGATAGTAAGCGGCCGAGGTAGGAAGATTCCCCCACAATCATTGAATTCGTTTTCACTTTTTTTTTTCTTCGTCGCCTGCTTGGCCACTCCTCAATAGCTCTCCACTTCCTCGACAGTCGACGTCGACAAGTCCGGCGTCCACCCGCTCGGCCGCTCGCTGCCTCGGACCAGGATCCCATACGCCGCCCGCTCGACCTTCTCCACGCTGGTCTGCATCACCTCCACTTTCTTGTACATGTCGCGCATCATGTTGCTGCTGTGGCGGCGCGGCACGTTGAGCGATTCGAACTGCGCGCGCATCCCGCGCAGGTCAACCACAATGTTGGCCTGCGCGGCGGGCAGTTCCCGCAGTGGCGTGTCTTCCTCTTCCCGCTGGGAATCCCCCTCCATGTTGCTGATAGCTGACTGCATGGTCTTATTCTCCTTCTTCTTCTTCGTAATCTGCCCACCCGTAGACAGCATCGTCACCGCAAACCGCATCAACTCGCCCGTCAGGTCGAAGATGCCCATCAGATAGTCCTCCTCGGTGACCAGCACCTCGGGCGGCAGCTTCGCGGCAACCTCGTCCCGCGAGATCAGCCGCTGTGTCTGCACGTAGTGCTGGAAGGAGAGCGCTTCGATGAACTCCTGGATGCCGGGGCTGACCTGTCGCTGGTAGCGCCAGGCGTTCAGGCCGGAAATGTCTGGGACGATGCTCCGGAAGAGCTCGAGGATCTGGTCGAAGCGGGTCTGATTCTCTTTGGCGATGGCGGGGGGGATGGGAGCGTTGACGGTGCGAAGGCTAATCATTGGCAATAGTATCGTTAATAAATAAAACCAGACATAAACAGCGACACGGGTTTGTTTTTATTCGTTGTATACGAGGACATCGGAGCAAGACGACAATCGCGCACATATGAATGCTTCAACTCACCGTTGTAAGGAGAAGATTCTGCCCAAAAAAGACCACGTAAGTTAGTTTCCTATAATCATCCTGTATGCAGTTAAGACGCATGTTACGTACATCTTCTTACTCAACGCGGTGATATCCCTCGACGCCTTGACGATCCGCTCCCGGCGGTCATGATGCTCGTCCAACTCGCTGCGGAAGGTCTCGAAAATGGACAGAATTGTTGAGCTGCTGCTGTTTCCAGTGTCTGCAGCAGCAGCAGCGGCAACAGCATCGGTGGCATCGGTGGCAGCCATTGCAGCCAAGCGGTCTTGTCCCTGCGTCTGCTGCGTAGTGGTTGTGTTGCTGTTGTTGATGATGTGACCTTCCCAGGATCTCTTCTTGGGAGTGGTCATGGATTCGACGTGCCAACAGAGTGGTTGGCTGGCTGGCTATGTCGTCAACGCGGTCTTGTCTGGATGCTCTTCCGGGGAAATTTCCGCGTGAAATCATTGATGGAGCCAAAGGCGGTGGCCTGCGCGGGGGCGAGCCAGTCTAGTGCAGGCACTCTGGTGGGCGTCCAATAAGAGCCCACAGGATAAGCGTGTTTAACTAAATCCAGCTGTCACGAGCAACTTTATCTATGTAGACATGCACTGAACAGAGGTTCAGATCTTGATGTTGATATGAGATATTTAATGAGTCAGTTTGGAAGCTAAAAGCACTCATATAACTGAATCAGGAACTCACAAGTTTATCAGTGGCAAGGCATCCTGCTGACAGAGGTTCTTGGGGTTGGCAATTATATATCTAGACCTAACATTGTTGTATCCTGATCAATTAGTTTGTCGCATGAAATCTGGAAGCTTCGAGATAGCACATCCCTCCATATAAGCAGCAGTTCTGCCATCATGGTGTGTCTCCTTCATTACTTCATCCTTCCAATCCACTGATACTTCAGTGATAACTCCTAAGAGACGATGGCAGGCACTGACAAAGAAACCAATCATGGGACATGCATCAGCAACATTCCTGGGTGGGAATTAGCTTGTGCAGTGTCTCTTTCAGGTAAACAAGGCCATTGTCTTTGTTTGACTACAGATATATACCCTATTCACCCCTATTCCTAGCACGATGTGACAAAAAGCTGTCTCAGTCCTTCCCATCATTTGTGGTTTCTGTCATAGTCCCCTGTCTCTCTGTCTATGTTTTCATAAACCCTTGATAAAATATGAAATCGATCATCATGCCGAAATCTCTAGTGATACTGGGTCCAACCCATATCATTATACTAGTCATTCCACAGCATTGCCACCTACGCCGGTCTGAGCGTCGTAGGACTCATGACACTCGCGGTAGCCAGCACTTTTGCGACGTTTGAAATTTGATGTAAGTCAATTCCTGCAGTCTTTCTTGATTTTAATTCTATTTTACAGTACCTGTGTTTATATCAGATTGAACTAGTGTATCTTACTCAGAAGTGGAAAGTGACCAATTCTTTTGTCCTTCGCGCGGAGAATTCACCGATCATTCTGCGAAGCAGCAAAGCCTAGCGAGATGCACTACGGAGTATTAACTAATGTGTATTTGAAACATCTCGGGGGAATATACCCCGCAAAACCTCCGCCGGAGAACTGTACTCCGTACGTCAGTGCCTCAAGCTTAAAAAAAGGTTATACCGCAGTCAACACTCCATACATTCACTCCGTACTCCGCCCATTTCTACCGCCGGAGTACCTCCGCTCATCTCGCAGTTTTTCTTCCTTTCTTTCACCGACTCACCGACAGAGAGAGCTGGGCGCGGCCCCTATCCTGTCCGGGAATGTCCGATGTAGTTCGGTGAACGGCCGAGTCCTACCTACCTACCTAAGTAGCTTACCCACTTACTGACGTTCCCGTTCCCCATGGGATCCCCGCGTTACCCCAATTTCCCAGGTTTTCAATCTGATCACTCAGAAACAACCATTATGCTGGTTAGCCACGCCTAATCGAGCTTAATCAATTAATAAGACAGACAGACGGAAGGAGAAAGAGGCATACTTGCCGTCTCTCCTGCGCACTCTCCTCCTGGATCTATCTTATCGTATGTTTTATCTGGTTGGCCTGTTCTAAAGAGACTCTCACTCACTCACTCACTCACTTTTTTTTTTAAATCCTGACTGCTCTGCTTTGCTCTGCTCTACTGGAGAGTCGGACAGATTTCGTCTGATCACTCAAGATGGAGAAGGAGAAGAGCAGGACGGACCATATCGAGGGGATTTCAGACCAAGATGGATTTGATGGATCTATTTTCCAAGGTTTGATTCCCTGGCTGTGCCTTCTGTCATTTTTCCTTTTTCATGTCCAGCCATTTTCTTCTAACAGTTATAGCATCACAGCGGAAGCACCCTGGGCCAAATACATCCCCGGCGGCTACTCCCCCTCGCGATGCATCACCCTGCGCGGCCGCCCCATGGTCTACGCCATCCTGCTCCTCGCAGGCGTCTCCATCATGTTCTTCGGCTACGACGCCAGCTGCATGAGCCAGGTCAATACGAATTCGGACTATCTGCGCCTGATGGGCGCCGATTCGGGGTCTGCTCGTGACTCGGCGGCTGTGGGCGGGTTGGTGAGTGTCTGGTTTGGAGGATTTGCCATAGGTATGGGCAGGACAACCGAACTCGCTCCTTCGTTCGCTAACTGTGGCGTCTTGTCTTGTCCTTCCTCTAGGTGCCATCATGATCGGTTATCTGGCCGACAGAGTCGGTCGTCTGAGGTCGATGCAGCTGGGATGTCTGTGGGCTATCCTCGGCGGCGCGCTGCAGGCGTCAGCGCAGAACATCACCTGGATGGCCTTTGCCAGAGTCATCGGCGGCATCGGCTGCGGTCATCTGAATACCATCGTCCCGATCTGGACCTCTGAGCTGGCGGATCCGCATATGCGTGGCACTTTTGTCGCGGTGGAGTTTACGCTGGCGCTTGTTGGGAGCACGATGTACGTATCTCTCCTGACGAATGAAAAGGAAAAAAAGATGATGATGATGATGATGACTAGATTATGTTTCAGAATGCTGTACTTTCAGAATGCTGTACTGACGTGCTATGCAGTGTCTACTGGACAGAATTCGCCTGTCTCAAAACCCAGAGCCTCTCCTTTTCATGGCGCTTCCCCCTGGCGCTGCAAGTCGTCTTCCTGCTCTTCATCCTGCTCGCCAGTCCATTCTACCCCGAATCCCCGCGCCATCTGATCAAGACAGGCCGGGTGGACGAGGCGCGCAGCATCCTGCGCCGCGTGCGCCTCGACGGAGACGACGACAGCAAGATCGAGCTCGAGATGCGCGAGATCGTCGCCGCCATCCGCTTCGAAGCCAGCGCCCAACCCCCTTCGTACTGGAGCATGCTGACCACAAAGGACAAGCTGCATACGCGACGCCGCATCCTCCTCGGGGCCGGCGTGCAGGTTATGCAGAAATTCACCGGCATCGACTTCATCGCCACCTATGCGCCTGAGATGTTCAACCTGGCAGGCTACAAGGGTGACAAGCCATCGATCCTGGCCGGCGGCAACTTCATTTCCTATACCGCCAGCCTGGCCCTGGCCATCTACCTCTGCGACCACGTGGGCCGCCGCCGACTGATGCTGATCGGGTGCTCGCTGATGTGTCTGGTGCTCATCGCGGGCGGCGTTCTGTCGCACGAGGTGATCCGACTCAATGGCATCGATCCGGCCGAGACGAGCCGTTGTGGCGCAGGCGTGACGGCCGTGCTGTACATATACACATTCGTATACGGCAGTACGTGGTTGACGACATGGTGAGTATAATAATATCCAGCGATCTCTTCCCGATGAATACTGACACAATGAAATTTCTTCAGTTGGGTCTACCCCGCTGAAATATTCCCCCTCGCCAGCCGCGCCAGGGGCACCGCGATGGCAACAGTCGCATTTTCGCTGGCAGGCGGCCTGATCAACGAGATTGTGCCTTATCTCATCGACGCGATCGGGTTCTGGGTCTTTATTCTCTTTGCGCTGGTCAATCTTGCCATGCTGGTTCCTATCTATCTGTTTTATATCGGTATGCCACCTTTCAGCTTTCGCAGCATCAATAGATGCCACGAGTCAACAAAGTGAACAGTCACTAACATCCGATACTGATAATAGAAACGGCCGGCCGCCACCTCGAAGATCTAGACTTCCTCTTCGCCAACAAGAGCCCGTTCGCCTGGCGGGCGGAGCGCGACTTTGCCGAGATGAAGGCCGCCGAAGCGGCTGCTGATCGGGAGGGGGGTCAAAATGTCGATGAGAAGATCAGTATTATCAAAGAAGCGTAATCTTGGTTTTGGTTCCTTGAGGATGAGATCAAACGTAGCTGGGGCAGTCTGACACGTATGTACAGTACAGTACATACGTAGATGTTAATATACATATGTGTATGATAACGAGACACACATAAAGCAGACATGTGTCTTGTCGAAAAAAGGGTCACTCCAAATCAGGTAAACAACCCATCTAACTTCCGTTGTAGATGAATCCAGATCATATCTGACTACACAAACTTAAAACTCATAGGATAGGACAGAGACGATGGCATCGCATGCAGTGGTACATGATGAATGCACCACTAATTACCTAGGCAAGCTACGTCCGTCAGTAGTCCGTCCCAGTCATGCACTGTACAATATCAACCCAAGGTACGTACCTCGGAAACGGTCGATCCTGCAACATGATTGGTCCCGCGCGGGCGTTCCTTGCAGGAACCAATCCGAGACATAACCTAATCTGCGACAGCCACGAAATAGGGATTGACATGATTGACATTCTGGAATGTTAGTCCATGCAAACGAAAGAAAGAGATTATTCGAAGATCTACTTGCGTATATATATGTGCGTATATATGTATATCATTGATTCTGTCTGTCTAACTCGTATAGACAACGAATGTAAGATATATGATAAGCTATCATATATATGAACAGAATATGCAGAAATTAATAAATAGAGTGCATAAAGAAAGGAAAATTCATCCCTATCTAATCCAATCCAATCAATTCCAACCCTGTTCCTTGCCATCTATCCATCTGGTAGTCTGGCCGTATCGTCGTCGTCGCTGTTGTCATCGTCATCATCATCTCATAGCGTGATTTCGATGCTTGCGAAGAGAAGGCTCTGCTTCTGCTTCTGCTTCTGCTTCTGCTTCAGTTGCCGCCCGTGTAGGTGACATCCACCTCGGAAGAGCTGGGCGTCGACGCCGACGTCAGCACCTTGCCGTTCTGCTGGATGTCCAGAATGTCCGCGCCGTCGGTGCCGACGGACGACCCGCTCGACGTGCCTGCGCTCGCCTTGGTGAACTTGACGGTGCCAAAGTTGGCGAACGGCACCAGGCCGCCGCCGCTCTCAAAGTCCTCGACGATCCACTCTGCGTTCTGCCCGCCCAGGGTCGCGCCCGACGACGGCGCCGACAGCGTCTTGGTCACCTTCTGCCCGTTGGTCAGGTTCTCGATCACCGCCGTGCCCTGGCTGTTGCTGCTCGACGTCACCGACACGCTGACCACGTCGCCGCTCTTGAAGCTGATCCCCGTGAAGTCGTGCGCGTAGTCCGGGTACCACTCGTACCACGCGTCGTACGACACCTGCCCGTTGCTGTCCACGTTGAAGTCGACGCCGGTCTGGAGGATGGCATTCGTGTAGGTGTCGCCGTCGATGCCGACCCAGGCCGACGCGGAGGATGACTGCTGGCTGCCCTGAGGCAACGATGGGGACGGCACCGTGAACTGCGCCGACACGGAGGTGAAGGTGCTGCCGGAGGGTGGAGAGGTCAGGACAGCGCCGGACCAGTTGGAACTGTAGTCGACATTGGTGCGGTTGGGCGCGATCTTCTCCTCGCCCACAGTCTCAGGGGCTGGCGCAGGAATGTTGGGATGGGAGAGACGGCTGCGAGCGTTGCGGGCAGCCACACGCGCCGCGAGACCGTGGCCCTTGGGAGCAGCCAGGGCAGAGGCCGCCAGTAGGGCCTGGGAAAGGAGGATGGCGGAGAACTTCATGGTGGTAGAGAGGAGTATGGTCCTGCGCTGACCTGGGAGGTGATGGTGATCTGGGAGGTGGACTGGAGAAGGCGGAGCCTGACTGTTCGGTATGTTTCTGGGAGGGTCTCGAGGCCCATTATATACTTGCTGTCGATAATAATCTGAGATTCAGCATCATTCGTGCCAAGGAGCACTGCAGTATGGAGCTCGGGCAAGGAGCAGTCCCATGCGTGCCTGGCACAGCAGCTCCATGGGCTGCGCGGGCCGCGGATGCATCTGCAAGAATTCCGTTATCGTCCTCCGCAGCTTATCCATGGTCTGGTGGCATCTCGGTGTTGCAAGGGCGCCAAGAATCAGCCAGGGGTGTGGGGACGGCGAGTGGTATGCATGTGCTGTACATACAGTCCGACAGGGATCCCGTATACTAGGCAGAGATGGAGACGGAATGCATGTAGACTGGAGAAACAACACCATTGACGTGCTCCGGCTGTAGAAACACGCCTTGCAATAACATCATCATCCCGGCAGAATGATGAGAGCGGCTCAAGCTGGCAGTCGTTAGTCAATTCCTTTCGGAGTTACATGCAGGTCAATAGAGCTATCGAGGTCAGTTAGCAAGGCATAACCTCCGGATGATTTGGTTAGCGTGTACTCTGTACGCAGTACGCAGTAGAATCAAGACCCCAAGTGATCGACAGTGTTAGAGTCGCACATGCTGATTAGCGTGCTGCTTGCTAAACAACCGTAAATTTAGCAGCCAGTACGATTGCTGCAAGAGCGACAGAAACGGGGCCAAGATCCGGTTGGGTTCAGTCGGAGATGACAGGGTGGCATCGGCTGACTTGCTCATCAGCCGCAAATGATGCGAATACAAGCATGTCGGCAATCATCACATGGCGAGATGCTCTCTCTTTTTCCCTTTTCGATGGCATCATATCTGGATTGATTACCGCACATGGGACAAATGTGCAGCATCAATCTCAATCCTGGGCATAGCGACATCCATGACGCCAAGAAGATCATCTATCACGACTGCTTCTGGGTTGCCAAGAGTGTCGCAGACCTAAGGACACCGTTGAATTACTGAACCATAGTCCAACAATCGTATCCAGAGTCCTGAAGTCCTTATTGCCTCTCGTTCGCGTACAGCTCTCCACATCGGAAATACAGATCATGCGTATTAGGGGATCGGAGATTGACTCGCAGCAAAGCCTAACTGTAGCGCGTAGTCCCACTCGTTAGCTCTGCTTTTGTTGCTAGCACTTAACTTCAGCCGGCCCCTGCAAGGGTCCCACTGCAAGACCTTGGGGAGGAACGAGTGCAACATTGAAATCCTGGCGGAAAGCTTCTTCATTTTTGAGGGTCACATTTCCACGGTGATGCTGTCGGCAGTGATTGTGCCGTGGGGGAGATGGTACCAGCACTGCCAAGAATACAATGCAGTTCAGATGACTCTGAAAAACGGTCGAGTCATTCATCAAGCTGTGTTGCACAAACCACGCAGGTCTCAGCCTTGTTGGACGGGGGACTGGGGAGGCGTCCGGGATGTGCTGGGGGCGCCGTGCTCGATCGTACCATCGCCAGCTAACGACGCCACAAGCGTTAGAAGATGATGGCGAACAGGAACATAAAGAAAGCATTGATATCTGCTCGTGATGATCAATTCCTCTGACAATACATTTCAGTTCCTGGCAAGACTCGGGAAGAGATAAGGTAAGCGGTTCGTGTCCCGGGAGAGAAGCTGCGTCTCCGTCTCTGCGGTACTCTCCGCCATCCACTGTAACGGTGGAACTTCATTGACTCGAGCATACTCCATAGATGGCAGCCGATACTCAATCTTCAGACTGCAGTGGCCGAACCTTGCTTGAATTATCTACCTAAAATATTGGTAGCACATACAGACAAACAGCAAGCGATGTTACTCATGAATTAGGTACTTGTACAGAGCAGACTGCCCCCACACCAGATCTCTAAATTTGACAGTCGGAAAATTCGGCAGATAGGCATGGATTCTCTCCCCTAACTACTCCATACTAGTTAGTCTGGCGTCATTATTAATCTATTTCTCGTCTTTCATCCTCAAAAAGTCGCAATCTAATGGTCATTTTTGACTAACATTGGTCCCGGCACTGAGTCGGGGATCGACAGTCGTCCATAGGTAGATATAGCTCTAATTCTGATTACTAACTAGGTACTTGTAGTTGAATGATAATCTATCTTATCTATAATGACAAACCCTGATCTTCTGCTTTCTATCCTGTGAATATAGACTGGCTAATGGGTAGGTCCGGATTAGGAGTATGAATGTACCTGCTCTGACTCCTCACTAATCAACTACGGATTAAACAATGCTTTGTATAATACAGCAGATGTACGGCTATCCACGGAACAGTAATTGATTAAGGCTCATAAACAACATGCATGATGATGCAGTTGCCATGCTACTTCCTGCAGCTGCAGGTAGCTAGCTAGCTGCGTGCCCAAGTCTAGTGCGAAAATGACAGCCATTCATCGTCACTCAGGGATCAAAAAAACACCATTTATTGGCTACCTAGGTAGTGAGAACCATTTCCTAGAACGTCGCTGCTCCGGACAATTCGGAGGTCAGACGTTAGCCGTCACTGCTGCTAGGCTATGTATGCACGTATGTATGTGCATAAATGGACATACTTAATTAGCTCGACAGACAGCGCCGATTAATACCCTTTCTCAGTTGTCCTGTGCCGCTCGGCTTGGTTTGACGTGATCGACGACGCGATCGAGAATTATAATCCTTTCTGACTACTGCCAACCTCACGCAATTCCTCTGTCAAATCACCAAATTTCTCCAGAGGATGATGGTGCCTGTAGATCACAGAGTCTAGACCTGCTGCTGCTTGCTTTGTGCGACATCCCTATTAGGGTAATAAGTCCAAAATCACCAAGACGCAGGTTCTGTGAGCTCATCCAGAGTGCAAATTCCACATGGTCCTGGTTGAGGAGCAGTTGCCTTCCTAGGTAAGTCGGTAAGTACAGCACGTAGTGCGGATCCTATGCTATACAGACAGCCTTTTCTTTTTCTTTCCCAGTGAGCTACTTTTTAGTGCTTTCCGGGATCAAAACTCGACTCCTCCTCGGAGACTTCCGACACTTTGAGCCATTGCCCACCTCCAAGCCATTATTGTTAATCACACTGGGCCGATGTAACTCGAGAGAATGAGAGAGGAAATGGCGTAATAGCATATAGTATTGGCTTTAACTCGCGCCGAGAATTCATCCCTATATCATCGCCAGATCTACTATAAAGGAAATCAACATCCGTTGTTGCACACTGTCGCGTGCTTGTTGCAAATATTAGGTAGAAATATTACTACACATTATTAAGGAATATGGCGAGAATATCCGAGACAAAGGAAGGAGATAGAAGACGACAATATTCCCTGGAGCTTTTGGGCATAAACTCAGTCTTCCTATTGTTTTCTGATCACTGCCGTCCCATGTGTTATACTAGGAAATGTAGTAGTCGAGTCAAAGTTCAATCGTTCTTATTGTTTGCGCCGCCAAAAATAAAGCAGGCAAACCTGGTATCAGAATTCCTTCGCATACATAGATTATCCGAGCTAATGTACCGTGCCTAAACCAGTCAAGTAAAGCGAGACCTGTCAAGCTTTGCAGGAAGATATGACAATAGTCCTATATGAATCCGTAGGGCCAGAGCCAAAGGTATCTAGATGCATGTACATCGGAGATCAGTTTCAAGGCTCCTCAGACGCAGGGCTATGGATGCAGGTACCTATATCTTTCTGCGATGTTCGGCAGCGACTCCAAGAGATATGCGATCTGCTCCAAACTTGGGTGTTTCACGCAGAGCTTCCAGCCTCTTGACAACTGATTGCTGTGGTTCAGATACTTGTTTTTAATGGCTTCCGATCTCGCTTCATTGTCAATAGCGTCAACGCTTTTCGTGAGTTTGATATAACCTTCGTCGTCAAGCGCGAAGAGTGCCTCTTTGACCCAGACACGGCAAGTGATGTCCTCCCGGAAACGCGCCGAGTATTGGATAGGGATCTGTGCCATGACGCTCGCTTAGGGCATCGTGCAGGATCGGCTTGATAACCGCCACTTTCAAGGCCAGTAAAAGCGGCTGAGGGTCATGTACGGGTGTGCTCGACTTGGTCTCGTATATCCAAGTGGTAGTGTTTTCTGGATTGATGAGATGGAAGATGATGCCCTCGTCAGGCGATTTGGCTGAATACAATCCCCAGTGGAACCGGTATCTCCCAAATCAGACAGAAGAATGTAAAAGCCATTGGCATCGAAGTTTAAGCCAGAATCATCCATATTGCAAGAGTGGGAGAAGTGCAGGTGTAGCCCAACAGACGTTTTTGGAATCCAACATTGCCGTATGTCGATGATACGGACTTTCTTGTAGAATATATATGAACGCATCCATTGTTGACAACTGTAGACTCCTCCTATTGATGAAGGCGAGAAATATCCTCCCTAGTGTGATTGAGCAGGCGCCTGGCTCTTCGTCCCTTGGCGCTTCGTGACACCAACGTTGGGAATTGTGTGCCAATCAGTCAATCTCATCAAGTTGATCTGTTTCTGGATAGACAAGGCTGGTGAGATTAGGGGCCTTCTGTCGCTCCTGAATGGAAGGAGAAATTAGCGACTATTATCCGCATCATGTCGGCGACTATAGCTTAGGTACCATCAGGTGCGTATCATCCGCAAGAAACAGTGTAATAACAAGCAAATATGTTTTGAAAAGAAGCACTTTCTGGTCATTTCTTTCCCTCTACTGAATAATTCGCCGAACATGCGCTGGGCTTTCTGGGAGGCGCTTAAGAAGATATGCTGGTTGGTAAAATCGCTCCTTCCAGGTGGAGATAATCCATGCAGAGTCATGTGATGGAATGGCGATCGATCACTGCATGCATCACTACCTACCTAATGCTACTTCTTCTTCACCTATCTACACATATGTAGGGACCTATGACACTGGCAGTTTCATCTGTCCGTCCGTCATCTTCATCGAACACTGTGCCAGGCAGGCCTGTTGTTCTGCCCTCGAATAGCGTCCGTCCAACAGAACTACAGCCATGGCACCGGGAGAGAGCAATCTCGACACCGCACTGAGAGTCATCGAGTCCGCACAATTGACACCTACAGAACACTTATTGCTGAAAGAATTCGTGACTGAGGCGGTAGATCCTGACAGTGCTGCTCGATACGTTCTGCAGAGAGTTCATAGTTATTACAACTCACCGCGCCATGTGTTGGAAGTTCATGGCGATACCGGTCTAACTGGATTCGGTAGTCATATAAGCTGATGATGACTAGATTATGTTTCAGAATGCTGTACTTTCAGAATGCTGTACTGACGTGCTATGCAGTGTATACTGGACAGAATTCGCCTGTCTCAAAACCCAGAGCCTCGAATTTCACACCATACCGGTTCGCAAATACTGTCGGGGGCCCGATGATAGACCATCGGCTTCCCGACGGTCAATGTGGTCCTTTCAATCAGGAATCAGATTTCAACAACCATCTGGTCCACAAGTACGTGGGATCCACGACCAGAGAGGAGATTGCTCCGGTCCATTCCCGACAGCATCAATCTTTCTTCACTCATGCGGACTTCCATCCCTCTAACATTCTGATTGACCGAGGTCGTCTGTCAGGAATCATCGATTGGGAATGCGCGGGGTACTTCCCTGCGTACTGGGAGTTCACGAAGGCGATCTACGGCGTGGAAAACAATGAACCTATGGAGAAGATGATGCGCGCTGCGTTTCGCGGGGAGGATTTTGAAGACGAGCTCAAAGCAGAAAAGTTACTCTGGAGAGAAACGCCGCTTGGTCTGTAGCCAGCGAGTGTTCAATCTATATGCCCAGTGTGTACCTAGTAACGGAGTTCTATTCTCTACCTTAGATGATTACTTAATATAATACTACGCTACGTATTTATAGATGTTAGTATTTTTAGGCAAGGGGGCAATATGGCTAGAGGAGAAATATTACTCCTATAATGCTCAAAGTATGTACAGTACATACTAGAGGACCTGGATCTCTACCAAGCACAAAGTATTCTTCTTCTTTTCATCGACTACATCGGCAACCGCTTCATCTCCTCTGCCGTCCAATACCGACGCATATTCTCCGCGCCCAGCGCCCGCACCTCGTCGTCGAGATGCGCCCATAAAACCGTCCCAAACCCGTCCATCACCCGCTTCATCTCGTCCAGCTGCAGCTCCGTCTCGCCTGTGCGGCACTTCTCCAGATACGCCTCGAGCCGGTCCAAGCCGGCGTGGATCTGCCTGTGCTGCTTCAGCAGGTGCACGTCGCGGCGGAACTCGGGCATCTTGCGCGCCAGCACGGGGAAGATGCTCTGCTCCTCGATCTGGTGGTGCATGTTTAGCTGCGAGACGAACGTGAGCCCGCGGTTGATGAACTGCCGGATCGACATCCCCGCGGGCCGTTTGTTGTTGGCGCATGCGTTGTATAGCTCGTTCCAGGAAAGGCGGAAATGGTTGTGCTGGTGAGAGCATCCCCTGGACCCCCCAGTTGATGGGGAGGGGGAAAAGTCATAGTATTATTATCCAGTACGTACAGTACGATTAGAGAGACTATACCATATATTCTAGACAGGCAGGCAGGCCGGCCCTTCGTATACACCCCCACTACTTAAATGCAAGGAGGGAGAAAACTTACAAACTGATCCATATGCTCCGCCATCCTATTATACACCCTGAACTCGGCGGGCGTCAGCTTTGGCAGTGCTTTGTCATCTCTGGTGTCCGCCTGCTTCTGAGACGTCTTCTTTTCTGATGATGATGGAGATGGCGAGGACGATGACGATTCTGTACTCATTGTGTTCTGTTGTGAACTTCGGGTCGTAGTTGTAGTCGCAGTTGTAGTCGTTATCCTAGTGGCCGATGGAGAAGCGATACAACATAACAAACCGACGATAAATAGATAGAGACCCACTGGCCTTGAAATTGACCATTTGATTGATTGTTATTACTAACATACTGCACCACAAAATCACATATATATAAGGGGGCGAAAGATTATCGATTTTTAGCTAGTTGAAATTGAATTTTGTATACGTAGTCTCCTTTTTTTTTTAAAAAAAAATAATAATGTTCTGATATTACTTGGTACTGAGGGTAGAGATGAGGTTAAAAAAAAGTTTCGTATTAAAAAAATTATATATATTTGGAAGAGAATTACCTAACCAGACAGTCACTAACTACTTATTCCGGAGTTATGTATCATACATACCTACCTAGTTAGTTTACCAATTGCCAAAGAATCCTAATATTAGGATTGTGAATCAATAAGGGGTATGTACTGTACATACATACTGTAGACATAGCCCGTCCGTCGACAGAGGAACTTGTCCAAACAGCAGGAATTGTTGAATCTTGCAAGATTGATTCATTTTGTTTATTGAGATAACTGCCTAACAAGATTTATTCATTAAGGTCAATCCTGTCTTGTTACAGATTGGAGGTCTTTTCATGTAGATTAGCTAACATGTTTTTCCCGACTAGTTACTCGACCTATCTAGGTATACGGCATGTCCCGGTTGTGCAATAGACGTATGCCACGCCCGCATGAGCAAGAGACACACGTCCAGTACGTCACCGGTGTAAATTCGATCTAAGCACTTCTTCGGCACGACTCTAGCCATGAGAAGACTGAATCGTAATTTGACATCCGTGCTAATAGCAACAACAGCTTGTTGAGCAGTCTTGAGAGAGAGCGAGTCAGCAGACCAGAGAGAGAACTGCATGCAAGCAAGGCCTCGACCTTGACTTGAAGAAGAAAAAGGGAATGTTTCAAATCATCTGCGGGTCCATATTAGATAGATACACATATGTCCACGAACGGACAATTATTAGTAATAATATCTCACAAGGCCAAGTAAGGTATTTCGTATGGTCACAGGTCCACCAGGAGAATCGAAATCTTACATCATACAAGATCACAACTTCGTAAGAACTATAATTCCGAATGTGTGATTTTGTTCGGCGGTCGGAAATTGCCCTTCATGAGCTCTTTGAAGGCCAGATCGAAACGGGCACCCATCAGCCATGCAGCTCCAAGCTGTGAACGTCTTCGTTAGTCGGTCACACTAGCTGCGGGAAGATCATTTCCTACCATTAGACCGGTTACTACCGTGACAATGACAGCCATGATACCCATAATCATGAACATGTCCTCGCGCGCTTCCGCAGCCTCCCGCTTCTTCTTCTCTTCCTCCTCGGAGGATTTACCCGCGATCTTGCGGTGAGCATCCTCGGCTGTTTGCGATGGGAAGAGCGTTTCAACAAATCTCTCAATCTGGTAGAAGTGCGTCAGTTTGACCTGGCCAGAAAAGAAGGCACTGAGGAAACCCACCTTTCCACATGCAATGCTGATCTTGAGGAAATTAGGGTCTTTGGGCGTGTTCTTCTGGTGGATCCGGCGTGCGTAGCGTCGGAAGACCTCGCAGACCACGCGCAGATTCTGCGTCGATTCAGTCATCAGCTGGCAGGCGTCACCTTTCGTGATCTTGATGTTCCTCTCAAACATGGCTGGATTTCGGAAGCAAAGTTCCAGCGTAGCAATAGCCATAGACTGCGGAATCGCGCAGAAATTGAAGACACTCTGCTCTCGCAAGCCGGCGAGGTAGAAGAGACATTCGTCGGCATGTTCGAGTGCGTTCAGAACCATCTCGGAACTGCAGTTGAGGGCGGCTTCACGGTACTCCGGCTTGAACAGGTCTTCAAACTTGTCGACATGCTTGGACCAGATCTCCTTGGGCCAGAAGTGCCGGTTATCGTCATGGTCTTCACGGACGTCACGGATAATGTTGGTCTTCTGCAAGAAGAGACCCATCGACTTGTGCAGGTTTGGACGGGCCAGCAGTCCGGGATTGCCAAACTCCGCTTCGACAAAGAGTCGGGTCAATCCTTCGCCGACAAGACCAGCGACATAGTAGCAGTAGAGGTCGTATTCCTCGATCGTGTTGACACTGATACCTTCCAACTCGGCCTTGCGACAGTAGTCGGCCATGCCGTTGCCCATCTTGTTTGTGATGTCTTTGATGATGGCCCGGTAGGCCGGTTTCAGGTTCTTGTACTCCGTGATCACATTGTGGAACTGCACGAGAAGCTCGCGGTCCTTCTCCTCCGGCCGGTTGCCGTCGAAGGTCCAGCCATCCTTCTCGATCAAGTTCTTGAAATCGCGAAGCAATGGCTCTTTGGTCGCGAGCGGAATCGAGGTGTCATCCTCGATGGTGTCCAGACCACGCAGGATCAAGTAGAAAACGCAGACGGCGACCAGCAGCTCAGGGTGGAGCTCCGCAATCACCGCAGCGAAACTGCGACTGGTCTTTTTCAAGAATTGGAAGCAAATCTTCCGTGTCTCCGGTTCCTCGGCCTCGTTTCGTTCATGCACGGGATTGTGCCAGACTTTCCTGCCCGAGAAGATGATTGCGACCCCGGTTAGTCGACGCCAACCCCGACGGTCTAGCAGATCAACCCGGGAGAAAAACGAACCATTGAATGATGGACCTCAATTGGTTGGGATGGAAGGCATAGTAGATCACATCTCCTAACAGACCCATTGTGACAGCCCAAAATCGGCCACGCTCACGGCCGACAGCTCAGTGATCCAGCACCTGCAGGACGATGCGAAAAGGGGTGGAGGAAGAGAGACGAGAGCAGAGAATTAGGAATGTAAGGAGGTTAGGATGAAAAAAGTAGAGGGTAGTGAAAGAAAGATGGCGGAATTCAACAGCTCTCGACCCCCATGGTTCGGTGAGGAGTGAAGCTGAATTTTAACGGGCGATTTAATTTAATTTCGACCGCGGTGCCAGGCTACTTTAAGGGGCGGGAAAAACCATTTGCGCCGATCCGGCAGCGATAAGATAACAAACAGTGCAAACACCCGTGACGGACACCTAAAAATCCCAGGAAGAATAATATCATGCTTGCCTAACAGGTAACAGGTAACCCCCCCCCGCGCTGTCTCGCCGGTCTCACCTCAGCCGGATATAGCATCCTTTTCTGACAGTTCCGTTCGTGGTTTTTCCTTCCGGTGACGAGCAGCCTTGTCTTGCAGCGCTGCCCACCATGGTCGTCGACACCACTTACTACGACATCCTCGGTGTCCCGCCGACGGCGACCGAGCTTGAGATCAAAAAAGCATACAGGAAGCTCGCCATCACCACCCACCCAGGTATGTTCTCCTCGGCTCATTCAACCGCTCTTGTGACGCATGCTAAGGCCGAACTGGTCGACAGATAAGAACCCAGGAGATGAGACTGCACATGCTCGATTCCAAGCGGTATGCGATGCCCTTTTATAGCCCCGCGCAAGAAATCTCCGTGCCGTGCAGTTATGCTTTTCCCCATATGGTCACACCAGATGGAAGCTAAACGTGTTGATTCTAGATCGGCGAGGCCTACCAAGTCCTCAGCAACGAGGAACTGCGGAAACAGTACGATAAATATGGCAAGGACCAGGCCGTTCCTGGCGGGGGATTCGGTAAGTCTTATACTTCCGAGTGCGACATCAGGACAGTGCATGTTTTACTGATGGTGGCGCTGTAGAGGATCCGGCCGCGTTTTTCAGCATGATCTTTGGTGGTGATGCGTTTGGCGACTACATCGGAGAGATATCATTGATGAAGGACTTGACCGCGACCATGGACATCACAATGCAGCAAACGGAAGAGGATGAGCTGGCCGAGTCTACGGAAGAGAAATTAAAGATTCATGAAGATGGTACGGCACAGGGACCCGCATCCGAGAAGTCCGGCGTGAGTTCGGGGACGAGCACCCCTCGACGATACTTGGGGCAACAAGCGATCATGGACAAGCCGGACGAGGAGGCCCGGATGGAGGCGGCAGGGGTTACACAAGAAGAGAAAGAATTGCGCAAAAAGGAGAAGAAGAAGGGCGGCCTCACCAAGGAGCAGCAAGACCGCCTGGCCGCGTATGAGCAAGAACGCCGGAAGGCGCGCGAAGAGCGAGTCGAGACCCTCTCCCGCAAGCTCATCGATCGTATTAGCGTCTGGACCGAGACGGACAAAAGCCCCGAGGTCACTCACGCATTTGAGGAAAAGATCCGTCTCGAGGTTGAGAACCTGCGGATGGAGTCGTTTGGTCTCGAGATCCTCCACGCGATTGGTGCTACCTATCTCCAGAAGGCCACGTCTTTCCTCAAGTCGCAAAAGTTCCTTGGTATCTCCGGTTTCTTCTCGCGATTGAAGGACAAGGGTATGCTGGCCAAGGAGACTTGGACCACCATCTCGACAGCAATTGACGCTCAGATGACGATGGAGGAGATGGCCAAGCTGGAAGAAAAAGGTGGCGCCGACTGGACCGATGAGAAGAAGGCCGAATACGAAAAGAAAGTGACGGGAAAGATCCTGGCGGCTGCGTGGCGAGGCAGCAAGTTCGAGATCCAAAGCGTGCTGCGCGACGTCTGTGACAAGGTCCTGGGCGACAAATCCATCAAATTGGAGAAGCGGATTGAACGTGCTCACGCTTTGGTCATTATCGGCACAATCTTCCAGAATGTATGCATCTCCTGCTTTTTTCAAAAATATTTACCTCTTATTGGACCCATGGCTAACCTTTCCTCCTCCTTTTCCAGGCCGAGCGTGATCCTGACGAAGAAGGCGACTACATGGCCTTCGAGCAGCTCATGTACGAAGCGGCCGCCAAGAAGACGAAGGACGATAAGAAGAAGAAGAAGGAAGACAGAAAGAGCAAGCACAACCCTTCTCCCAGCGCTCATGGGACACCTGCATCGTGAAGTGTTCGCATGGTGACGCGTTGTTTTTCCTTCCAATTTCCTCGTCTTGTCTGCTATAGAGATGGCATCTGGCCGCGACAACCAACCGGGTATGGCGAGGCTTTAGAACCTCTCTTTATGTTCATGTTCCTTTTCCGCTTTTCGTCCCCCTTGTTGGTTATGTACAGTCTGCCACGGTCGACGTGTGTACGAAGTCTTTTCTTGTCGTTATTGCCTTCATCAGTGCAGATATCCACTCATGCTAATCCGGTACCGGATACCGCTTAATATGATGCGTTTATTCTAGGCGATCCGTGTTTTGTCTACGGAGTATAGAATTGACACTGATCTCTCTGCCATGTTATCTGTTGACGTGATCTGATATGCCTGTCCATGAATATTGTCTCCCTGCTGTATCTACTCTGTACCCGAATACACAATATACACCAGTCCCATAGTCTAGAGCACATTCTGCAAAGTAATGGTGAATAATAATAACTGCATGTCGCATTCTCTGTTGCGCTTGCCTGGCATCCACGTGCCTGACTGCGGGTCGCGGCCCCGGCTGGCGCTAAACCGCTTGCGGCGCGATGTTTTCGACTGACTCCGACCGACATCAAAAACGAGTCGAGATCGCTCCAGATCCCCTCCCCCTTTCCAACCTCGCCTCGAATTGATTCGCCCTGCCCGTCTGCCATTCTTCGGTGGACGTTCTTTCCCCCTGGCCAGGGCCGTCATGCTTACAGTTCCCCCTTTACCCACGCAATGTCATTATGCGCGATCAGTTCCGCCGCTCCCCTGTCTCCCGACCCGCCGTGCCCGCTCCGAGTATGAATACCGATAAACAAAACAATGGCGCTCCTGCCAAACCATTCACTCCTACTCTCAGTGCGGCTTTCAGGACGGCGAACAAGAACTCGCATCCTCTAACTCCCCGGCTGGCTGGTGCTGGAGGCCACCAGACTCCGAAGAAGATCTCTCACACCGACACCGCCTCTCCCCTCCCACACCGAGACGATGGGCCAACCTATCTCAGTGCCAATATCACCCCACGATCGGGGTCACGAAATTCCAGAAGGGATGGTGCCCTTTCTTCTCCTGAGAACACTCCCACTGGTGCACAACAAGTCTCTCAGACGTCGCGTCCGACGCTGCCTCTGGCAGCCGGAGGATATCATCGGACAGAACGCAGTCCGGTTCGCGGGAGTGGGAAACCAGAACCTGCAAGACCAACAAGAGCAAAGAGTGTGACAGGGGATAATCTCACTCCGCGGGTGGCGTCACGGCCCAATTCGTCCTGTGAAAGCTCTGGCGGTTCGCCCATGTTCTTCCATGCCGACGATGCCCGGTCTTCGGTGTCCTCCTATGAGACAGAAACCCGGCCCAGATCCTACATCAAGTCGTCCCAAGGATCAACCTTCCTCTATGCTGATGGAACACGGGACGATGAGTCTCAGGACAATTTGAGCAGGACACCGTCCACAAACAAACGCCGTTCCACCGGATCGTCACGGGCGCCTGCAGCTGCGACGAATCATCCGGACGTTTTACCAAGACTAAAGTCCTCTCAACTGTCAGAGCCAGAGTCGCGACCGTCTGCGGATAGCACTCTCCAGCCAAGTCCAAATATTGACGATGTTACGGAATCCAAGTCTCGGCAGTCATCTCCTGCACCGAATCTCGCTGAACAGGTAGCACGACCATCTTGCCCGATCGGGCAGCAACTGTCTCATCGGAAGTCCTGCAGCCTCGATTCCACCCCCAATGTAGCATCACCACGAGGAGGCGGGCGTCGTGCCAGCCCTATCATATCATCTTCCTTTCTACCGCCAGAAGTGTTGAACGGTGGACAGACGCCCAATCTCAGCCCCCGAGTTGTTAGCAACAACTCTTCCGATCCAGCGGAACCGCATGGATCATCCTTTCCTCTAGCACAAAGTCCCATTAAGATAGAGGGACCAACGTCCCATACTGATGAGCAGGCAGTCAATGCGCGGACAGCGCGCAAGATCCTGGATCTCGAAATCAGCAACTCATCTCTTCTAGCGATCAATCGTACTCTGGAACGCGAACTGCGAAAACAGAACGCAGAGTTGCGGAGATATCGACGGCTAAGTCGTGCTGGTCGACTGTCGATCGACCCCCTCTCTCCGTTCTACCTCTGGAGGTGGATTGTCTATGGTCAGTGAGACGGATGACGGGGTCAGCGAACCATCATCCATCCAGTCGCATGACGAGCTTTCCGAATCCAGTGACAATGAGTCTTCTGCAGAAGGAGAAGACGGTACCGGCAGTCCGAACTCATCAGCCGATCGCGACACGCGCGTCCGTGCGAGCGATGAGAAACGATTCTTACTGGACCTTGCCAAGCACCAGGAGTTGCTGGCCGACAGTCAGAAAATGAACCAAAGCCTCAAACGGTGTTTGGGGTGGACGGAAGAATTGATCCGGGAGGGCAAGAAAGCCCTCGAGTACCATGTGCACGTGAACGATGTTGAAATTGGTGGTCGAGTGCTTGCACCGGATGAGGTGGGAGAGGAAGTAACTAGTGGACGAGCACTCTTGAGCCCAGCGGCTGAAATACAAGAAGCTCTCGAAGCTGAAAACTCAGAGTTGTTACATCAGTGATCATGCTGATGCACCGCTTCAATTGTGTTTTTGCGCTCTATCTTGAGATACTACACGACGTGGCAGGACCAGTCTTTCATTTCAGCACCGATCTTTCCTTTGTTTTAGATTTTGTTTTTTAGATGTGCCCATCGTTTCTTGCCCTGCAATTGCTCGTCTTGTGTTCTTGGTCCCGTCTCACCGTTGCTTGTGGTTTGAATGCGGTTCGTTTCTGGCGCACTCCTACGGCGTAATGAGGGGGAAAAAAGGGAAAGCTCTGACTGCACTCGGGACTCCTTCTTCTCATGACGGTGGCGTTATTTGTTCTCTCATTCTGGGATGATATACCTGATACCTTTTGTATGATGGGAGTTTTTCTCTCTACAACTTGTTCGCCACTCTTCGTTTTGAGCATGCCTTGTGTGTTTTTATGTGCAGTAGCCCAGCATCATTTCAAATCTGTCAGACCTTCTTTTTTTTTCCCCGCTAATACGTGATTTGTATGATACCCGATACAGTCAGTGCCTGCCAATAAAATGAATCTTTCACTTTCTTTATCCTGACTGTTATTTTTCCCGCCCATTAAAGTGTACAGTACGGTTAATATTAATTCATTAATTTATACCTAGTAAGTGATTATGTGATTATTTGGATGATGAAAGCCAGATTTTGAGATCGTAGTATATGCATACCCGTAAAGTCATCAATCATACACAGGTGATGCTAATCATGAGGGAACTTATACTATATCGAGATATGTATGTATATACGTCGTAGGACGGATGGTATGTACTGTACAGTACATGTATGTACATGTAATGTACCTAGGTCCTTTCCAAGAGCCAGCCACTCGACGAATGCCGGTGCCTTTCTTTTCTGTTCGTTCCAGTCGATGGATGTGTCGTAACTCGTCAACGGTCACTCCCATTGCTATTTAACCAAAAACCATGGTTTCGGCATGGACCTCAACAGTCGAATCGAATATGATAGAATAGAAATAGAATATCTCGGTTGCGTGTATGTATGTATGTACGTTCCTGGATGGTTGGGTCCTGCTGTTCGTTTGGGATGTTCGCCATGGCTAACGGGTGAGACTTCAGTGATGGGTCTTCGGACGGGCTGGCCTTGTCCATTCAGCACTCAATTCCTTTCAAATGGAACTTTTGTTTTTCATCTGCCACATCGGTTGTGAAAGTCCTCTGCTTGCGCTTGTGGACACGTGGGTTCGAGATTCTGGTCAGTCGTGCTGCTGGTTTCTATGGAAACTTTCAATTAGGCCATTTCTGGCTGTACTGTCAATTGAAAAACAGTCGTCTCTGGCGGGAATCAGTATCAGCTGTTATCTTCCTCTTCCGGGAAGGCTGCGGAGGCGGCGACGGGGTTTCGACGGAATCGAGAGATCCCTTGACTGCCTCCCTAATGGTCTGTTTCGACAAACAAAAGTCCACGTGCGCGTTGAAGGTTCTGTCGTCAGCTGCCTGCGGCCGGTGACACACAGGGCAGTCCCAGAACTGGTTCTGGTTCTGGTTCTGCGTACCGTCATCACCATTATCTCGTGGTGTAGTCTGCTCCGTCCGCTCGGAGGTGTCTTGGCTGGGTTTGTGGTCGCCTTCCGTAGAGGAGGCTGCGGCAACTTCCTGACTGAGTCTCTCCAGCTCGTTCATCTCATCCTGTCTTTCTTGTCGTGCGGCTTGTTCGAACTCTTCCTCTGCGTTCACCTCGCGTTCGTCACTGCCTCTTGCGTCGTTCGGTGGCTGATGCGTCATCTTCGGCTTGGATTGGATGCCAAAGAAGTCGATGCCGACTTTCTTGGTGCTGACCAGGTTCGTGCACCGGAGGCCCAGCAGTCGGAGCTTCATATTGGGGATTTCTTTCTCCAGTTTGACCAGCATCGGCAAAGCGAATGAATATAGATCCTGTGCCAGACAGACTGCTTTGGGAGGAACGACCTGCCGTGTCAAGACCTCGAACGTGTGCAGCTTGACCTTCAGCACCAGAGTGCGGCCCTTGAACTGCGTTCGTGCGAGATCTTTCTCGAGCTCCTCGGCGGCCCAACGGAGCCTCTCCCTGATCGCTTCCTTGTCACTGATCTCTGGGAACGTACTCTCCGTCCCTACGCTCTTCCTCTCATATGCCTCGGCGGGCTGGATCTTGGTCCTTCCTATACCGAGATAGCACTGCATCAGGAACTGGAACGCCTTTTCTCCAAACAGCTTCGCCAGAAGAGCCCTCTGCGGGTAGATGTCGCCGCACGTTTTGATCCCGATCGCGTCCAATTCACGTTCGAACACCCGGCCGATCCCGTTCACCTTACGAACGGGAAGATCTCGCATGAAATCCATGATAGCATTTCGGTCGTTGGGGATGTAGAATTGGCCGTTGGGCTTGTTCCGATTCGATGCGATCTTGGCTAATTTGGCATTGGGGGCAATGCCCGCGGACACTGAGATCTTTGTCTCTTCGAGAATCCTGGCCCTCATCTGTTGGACTGCCTCTTCAGGCGCGATCTGGTTCTCTTTACAGTAGGCAGTGATATTCAGATACGCCTCGTCGATGCTCGCACTCTCAAAGAGCGGATCATACTCGACTAGTATCGCCCGGATTTCTTAAGCCTTGGCGTTATACTTCTCGAAATTCTGGGGTATAACTCTTTTCTCCTCTGTCGTCTCCATTGTGTTGCGCGACGAGTCTGCTGCAAGCAAACGATAATTCCCCAAGCAGGCAGCCAAATGACCGACGCCAGATCACGTGATCACGCGTCACTCCGAGCGTGATTCACGTGCTCGTGAGCGGAGCTGTGACATCGCAGAAACAATAACCTCGAGCCTGCCGGATTCCCCATCATGTGGATCCTTGACTCGGAGGGGGATTTCTTGCAGGGTATGTCTATGGTCAGAATGTTTTTTTGCGGTGGGATATCGCTGACCGTTCGATAGGGAAACGTGTCTGGCTGCGACCCGGGAAGAAGTATCTCTTCGGTCGGATCAAGCAAGACGGAGGTACGCTGCCACCCGCGAGGTTGAGACATCGAGTTGGATGCTGATATTTCCCTGCTTTTCCAGTCCGCCATGCTATTCAGCATGCTTCCATTTCGAGAAAGCATCTGGTGATTGAGGTATCACCGGTGAACCCCGGTGACGGTGTGCGTCTCTCCCAGCGTCTGTTCGCAACGGACTCTTGCTGACAGAAGCCAGTCGCATATCCACACCAAGTCCAAACTCACCGTGATCGACCAGAATTCGAAATGCGGGACGGTCGTCGATGGAGAACAGATCAAGGGCGGGAGCAAAACTCTGAGTGGGGATGAACACATACTTCACCTGGGCCGTTATCAGCCTGCGTTGAGGTACGAGGAGACCGAGAAACGTGGCTTGTGGAACAGACAGAGACTGATATCTGCTGTACTAGGATTAAATGGCAACCCGTCCTTTTGAGTTTTTCCTTTTCTTCCAAAGAGCTCAAGGCAAAGGACCCTCTTGGTCCGGTGAGAGCTCGTCTGGAAGACCTCGACATCAAGACGATCATACCCTATGTCACCGGCAAGACTACGCACGTCGTTCAAAATAAAAGAAATACGGCCAAAGGTCTTCAGGCATTGATAAATGCGAAGTACATTGTGCAGGACTCTTACATTGATGCTCTGGTCTACGCTGCTACTCCAAGTGATCTGGAGAATATCGAGTCGTTATCACCCCTCGAAGAAGACTTTGATGCGGCCTGGCCAGATCCAGCATTACATCTTCCGCCACCTGGGAAAGAGCCGGTTCAGCGCCCGGCCGCAGCATTTGCCCCCAATCCAGACCGAATCCGTGTCTTTGAAGGCTACACATTTGTGTTTTGCGATGTCGGTCAATTTGAAAACCTCCAGCCCCCCATAACCAACGGTCATGGGAAGGCTTTGCTTTATCAAGTGGAAAATGGCAAAACGACGGCGGAAGAAATCGTACAGTTCATGCGAAATGCAGCCGGTCAGAAAGGGCTCGGCTCTGAACGCGATGGTCCGGGAGGAGTCGTCTTGGTTCGTTTCCGTGCCAAGGGAGGGTATGAGGAGTGGTCTATTGAGTTAGGAAATCAAGTTGCCTTGATGACGGACCAGCGAGTCATCGAACAAAGCGAGTTTTTGGATGCAATCCTGGGTAATGATGCGTCCCCGCTCTGTCGTCCCCTTCCCAGGGAGGAGAGACCGCCCCCCGAGAAAAACCGGAGCAGATCCATAGAGCCGGGTCCTGCTCCCAACAATAATATATCAGATACAGCTGAATCTCAACAGGAAGAGCCCCCTACGCAGAAGCCGGCGAAACGGCCCCGAGTGCGTAATTTTGTGAGCAAGGTCAAAAATTTCGATGATGGCTTCGACATTAATTCGATCCCCGTTTATACACTGGAAGCCGGTGATGGCTCCCGTGAAGAGTCGCAGGTATGTCTAGCTTTTGTCTTTTGCTTGTGTCCGAACTGACATTTGGCCAGCAAATGGAGATGGACGATCTACCCCCGGAGCCGGCCGCAGCACCTGCGTCTCCAGTGGAGGATGACATGTCAAGCCTTCTTCCGGGGGCCAATGCCATGAAGCGTCGTAGAGCGGAGATGGGCACTCGCTCCCACGAGGATGAACCAAAAACTTTCCAGGAAGAGATACGGAAACCGAAACGCCAAAAGGTTGACGTGCTCGAGGCAGCACGCCGGCACCGTGAAGCTGAGGAAGCGGCTGCACGGGAGCGGCGGTCGGAGGAAGAATCGTCTCTACAAGCAGCGATTGAGGGCATGACCATTGAGGAGATGAAGCGTCTAGTCGTAGTCGAAGAACTTGACGTTTCATTACGTGACAGACGCACTCCGACGGCGGAGGAGACCAGTCGATGGGACGAGCGGTGGAATGGACGGAAGAATTTCAAGAAGTTTCGCAGGAAAGGCGACGTATCTGTTGCGCGACCGCGTGTGCAGGCGGTGATTGTGCCCTTGGAGGAGGAGAAACAGAAAGATTATGGCATTGGAGACCATTATTGGGCCCACAACAGACGGGATAGCCCCGAGCCAGTGTCAGTGTCCCGGCATAGCAGTCACCAAGATCACCGCGAGGCGAGCCACGTGGAGGGCAGGACGTCTGCCTCCCAGCCTTCTGCTCTATCCGAAACGCCTCCTCCGCCGGTGCAGCGTCAAAGTCAGCGTGCTAGCCAGAAGAGAGCGCGGGAAATTCCCGACTCTGACAGCGATGAGGAACTTCGCTTCCGGTTCCGTCGTAAAAGGTAGAGAGAGGATGCTGAAGCATTGTGAAGGTGTTGCCTTTCGATGTATATGTATTACTTATATTTCTTGTCGTAAGCTTTTAACTTTTCCGCGAATGGAAGGGTTGTTGATACTGCGAAACGGCCATAGATATTATCCAGCTATTTCAGTAGGACTGTACGCTCGGACCGGTGGATGGGTTCTGAAGATGCTGATTCCATGCGTATAGGCAGGTATACTGGACACCGTAGCCAAAGCCACTCCTGGTTCAAATGTTTTGCTCAGTTGCCATAGGCAGTAGTAGATACTTCTTGTTTTCGCTTCAATGGAGATGGGCCATTTTGACTAAAAACTAGCTCAATTAGCTTAAAAGACTAAGGACGATGGTCAGAAAGATCAGATCATGATAAATAAGGCTGTTTATAGTTTATACGCCCATCCTAATCCTGACGGGGTTGGTCCATCCCCTTCGGTGTCTCAGATTATTACCCGCCTGCTTCAGGTGACTGCACTGCTGCTGTCTCTAATTAACACGGAGAAATTCGCAATAAAGGAAACACACGAACAGTAATAGTCAATTAACAGTGCTGTGATTTGGCGTGGTGCTGAAAGTGTCGCTGGATTGCTCTGACTGTGACTGGCCGGGATGGCAGACTCCGGTCTCTTGCGGGTCAACAAGTCGTTATTGTGGCTGTGATCCGCCCTCATTAATTAATCAATGCAGCGCATGCTATATTTAACCACCCAGTTAATGAAATGGGGTGTTCTTGACCCCGGAGAATAGGAATAAATAATGCTAATGTCGCATGTCGCCATCCACCACCTCCATTGTCCCTCGCCTGCGCGCTCTGCTGCCGCCCGCCCTGGTCGTCCTCGCTGATCCTCTTCCGTGATCTTCCAGCCTCTTCTCCCACCCCTGCTCGCCAGCTCTCCTCTCGACCTCTTTCTGCCTCGTCCTGCTGCTACTCTCGTCCTGTCTCCACAACCACTAGCTAGCCTTCGTGACGTATCGCCGCCGGCTGGTGCTCTGGCGCTGCCCAACCCTCGGGCTTATTGATTGATTCCTGACCGCTCGACCAGCCCCTCTATCTGCGGTTGGAACAGCCCGATAACACCTCAGGCACGAACCGACCAGCCAGCCATTCCAGCTCAGCAGCCCTCCAGCAGCCCCGCCATGGGCTACGCTGGTTGGGCTTGAAGGAAAATCAGCCTCTGTTCGTTCGTTTGGCATGCCTGGCTGCCCGTTCGTTCAGAAGCGTGTGGTCCTTGAAATCGACCCTGCTTCTCCTCAGCTGCGGTACGTCTGCAAGGCCCAGCCGTTGGAGGACTCGTTCTTTAATGCGTTCTACCGCGGGTTACAGAGTCCAGTGAATACTCAGCCATCGCAGAAACCCGTGGCTCCCCGTCTTCATGCCATCTCGGACCACCTCGTCGTCTTCCTCGTCGCCTGTCATGATCTCGGCCATCCCCCCTCCTCGTCCGGTGTCGGTCAATTCCTTGACACGGGCCCCCATCTCCCCCGCGCTCTCAGTCCACAAGACAGCAGGTCGCTGTACGAGTGCAGAGGTCCAAATCCACGATGGCCCCGAATTGACAATGCCTCCGTCGGCTGCGGTCGACTGCCCTACGAGCCCGGATACGGAGATGGAAGATTGCCAGGGCGCTCAAGAGGCGGATGCGCAGACCCATCACCGATCGGATCTGCGGTTCGAGAATCTCCCGATCGAGATCCATGAGGCCATTCTGGACCACCTCTTTGGGGAACGCGCGTCGACGCAATCGAGCGCCTCTTCAGGCAAACCCTCGGCGCAAAGCTGGGTCAAGGCGCTCCGTCACCCGCGACGGAAAGCTCTCTCGAATCTGGCCCTGATTTGCCGGGTCTGGAGGCCATTGGTTCAGGATCGCATTTACCGACACAGTCAGTTCCATTCCTGTCTATCTCTTTTATCTGGTCTTTGCTAATAATGTATATGCAGTCAAGGTCAAAGGGACGAAGGATGGCCTGGCAGAATGCGAGCAGTGGTTTCAACAACACACCCATTTGGTCCCGTATGTTCGACATATCGAAGTCTGGGTTCCCGTCTGGGGAAATCGGGCCAACAAGAACGCAACGCCGCATCTTCCCCCGTCGCGCCGTTATATGAATGAGGACACAGGGTTAGCGGACGTCGCCGCTGTGCTGCAGGCTACGATGGCCGGGTGGGAAGACTCGGATAACCACCGTACGCCCAGCAATTGGAGCTACTATATGGCGAGCCATAATGCGACTCTGGAGGAGATTTTCCGCCACGTCAAGAGATTCTACCCGGAAGCTCGAATCCTCACCCTCGAGGGCGGCCATTGCAAGAGACCGCCGTTGATTCGACACTTCGCCAATGACCCGTCCGGCTTGTGCGGGCGGTCGCGGCTCGAGGTGTTGCCCAACATCCAGACCTTTGTTATGCGTGGCGCGTGGAACATCATGCGAGACTATCGGCATTGGTGCAGCCTCGCCGAGGCCCTGCCGTCGTTGCGGGAGTGGCACTGCGCGTATGCCAAGCCAAAGATCGAAGCGTACGAGACGATTGCAAAGGCCCTGACGAATCTATCGTCGAGTGTAGTCCATCTCAACATCAGCCTGGAAGGGTTTCACAACAAGGAGGTCTCCCAATCTCATTGGCTCGGAGAGCCGGAGCCGCAGCATCTGTGTCGCCTGCTGGGGGAGATAGCGCCGCGCTTGGAGTGTCTCACATTCACGGGCAACGTGTGCGCGAGTTTCTTCAGCAGTGCGCGGGCGGCGATGGCGAATCGGCCGGGAGAGTCACGGCTCAAGTCGTTGGATCTCGTGGTGAAGACGTGCTGCCGGGAGACGACGCGGCAGGAGTCGATGCCACCGATTCTGGACGAGGCGGCGGGGATTACGAATCTGAAGTTCATCCGATCGTTTGAGAAGCTGGTGCTGGGGGCGGTTCGTGCGCTGGATACGTTGCAGGCGCTGGACTACGTGCGGATCCGCTTTATCGATCTGGACTCGGCGTGCCCGCTGCTCAACCCGTACTTCCAGATGGTCAACACCAGTGCACGGGGCTGTGGAGCGAAGCGATCCTGGAGACGCTGCACGAGGTACGGCCGACGGCGCAGTTCGTCGAGCTGGCCGACGGCATCTACCCGCAGTACGGGATGAACGACACGATTATCGGGGCGGTGTACCCACGCAGCCGGCCGCTGAGCATCAACGCGAACAGCTACAAGATCATTGCGGATGCGGCGAAGTCGTAATGGAACGAAGCTCGACCGCGTTGATCGCAGGCGATTAATGAGCTGACTGAATGGTATGGTTTTTGATGCGATGGACGGATGGGATTCTTGCGATTGGTTTTGTCCTGAAATAACATAATACCCCGATCTGTTTGGATATACATACATGAGCGGTCTGTTGCAACAAACATTGGTGCGAAAGGCTTGTGATCGTCGTCTTGTTTTTAAACACTCTTTTCAACATGGATGATGTACATACAACGGGCATGGCGTGTGGCGCGTTAATTGGATTTTTACACTTCGATTGGCTGGCTGTCTACAGCAAACTACAGTAAATGAATAAATAATTGTAAACCTGCAACGGGTAAATAAATAAATAAATAACGACTGTGATCGTCTAGAAATTCTTGTGTCAAGGATCATCACTGCATCTGTGGCAGAAGTTATATATAACCCAGGTACATGCATACATACATACATACATACAAATACTAATAAGCAAGAAGTAATTAGGGTAGGATTGGTATCAATTCATTCTATACATATATAATACATATTATATATGTTCCTATGTGCGGACGTAGTTAGGTGAAAAAAAAAGCGCAAGTAAGTTCCGTTCTTTTAATCTAATCCATTACCTAGGTAGGTAGGTAGTAGGTATTATGTATCTGCCTATATAATAATTTTATAACTCGCTTGTTGCTTTCCTTTGCTTTCTTTCTTTCCGGGCGAATTTTCTAATATTATAAAACTGAGCAAGATTGCAATGTCAACGCAATTGAACTGAACTGAACTCGATTAACTTAATAGATTCAGCTCGATTCCTGCATCTCCTCCACCTCCTTCATATACTCCGCTACAACCCTAAGCTTTTGCTCGGAGAATCCGCTGCCACCGGTAGCAGTCGCAGCAGCGGTAGCGCTCTTCTTGCTAGAAGAAGAGGGACCACTGTCATTATTGATACCCCCCACATCCGCAACAATCACACCCAGAATCCACACGTTAGCGGCGAAAAAGATTAGCGACGCCAGCCACAGCCCCGGCAGGAAGCTGGTGATGCCGAGGAATTCGAGGCGGAAGGCTTGGTGGAGCCAGAGGGCCTGTCAAAAACATAAATAAGTAAATGAATGTGAGTATGGTGTGTGGGTGTATGTACGCACCTGCGCAAGAACCCACAGCAGCGCTGCGGATATCCCCTTGATGGGTCTCTTGAGGAAGGATGATGATGGCAGATATAGTGGTAGGAAGATGAGGTACCACAGGAAGTACTATATATAGTCATCTCTGTTAGAACAGTGGCTACCTAGGTAGGTGGCTAGATAGGTAGGTAGTAGGTAGTAGGTAGGTAGCTCACCTGACTCGTGCACACCTTGTTAAACGCTACAAAGGCAAATGTCTGCGCCAGCATCGTCCCTGGGAGATTCTTCCTGGCCAGGACGAGCGGGATCGCGACTGCAGACAGAAACAGTTGCGGCACGAAGGCCAGAGACTCGAAGTGGATCCCGCCATGTTGCTGCCGCGCTGCCGACAGATACAGCAGCGTGTTGTACGGCGAGAAGTTGTGCCGGTGGTCGATCCGCGTCAGGTGGTGCAGGTATGTGTGCTGCATGAACGGGAGGCCGTACAGCATGTACATGGAGATGTTGAGGGCGGAGAACGTGGACAGGGCTGTCAGGGTGAGTGTGATGCGCGAGGGCGTCACCAGGGCAGTGATCTTCTCGACCAGGCTATTGCTCGTTCGAGTTCTGCTCCTGTCCAGCCACCACAGCATCGACGGCCCGTAGATGAACGGGTAGATCTTGAAATGCACGCCCAACCCCAGCAGGACCCCCGCCAGGGCGATCCGTCGCTGCGTGATGGCCCATAGCAAGGCCATCACCATCACCCCCAGGAGGCCTTCGGAGCTGCCGCGCGTGCTGATAGTCGCGACCATCGGGTTGAGCAGCCAGAGGCTGGCGTATTTCAGCGCGCGGGCCTCGCTCATCCCGTACTCGGACCGCAGGACGCGCACGAGCAGCCATCCGGCGACCAGATCAGCGACGGCGAAGAGTACCTTGCCGAAGGAGAAGAGCAGCGGCCCCAGCCCCCGCCACGCCGTCGGGAGCAGCATCCACGCCAGCAGCGGCGTGTAGCGGTACGTGTCGCGCGCATAGGGCGAGTGGCCGCGCGACACGAAGCGCGCGGCGTCGGTGAAGACCATGTAGTCGATATCGGTGTACTTGACGGGGGAGTGGGCGTCCTGGTACAGGCCGTAAAAGAGCAGGACGACGCGCAGCGCGGCGGCTGCGGAGAAGACCCGGCGGGGAGACTGGAAAAGGGGGGAGGACAGGGACATGATGGACAAGAGCTCTTCTTTCTACAAGACTTGGTACATGGACATGGATTGACTATTGCACTCTGCAGGAGAACCTCCTCACGCATCAATCATTGACGTAGGAATGGCAATGACGGCATTGAATTAAAAAACACTCAAATAGACAATACACACTCAAGTAGACACTCAACTCCCCCGTGGCGCATTGAAATTGGGCAGGTGCTGAATTCTGCCCTGCTGATCTAAGTAATAATGTGTTGATTGATGAATCTCAACATCAACAGCGATATATCAACAGGCTAACCTGATTCGGGTTGGCGTTACGGAGATGCTTGGCATTGCTGAGTCAGCATGCATAAGCAGGAGTTATACATTACGCCAATTGATCAAATAGACTGATGATAATTCTTTTTTTTTCTAAACTAATTGGTTTTTCTGATGATGTGTCTATGCGTTTAGGTTTTTTAGATTTTATGGTTGCCCCGTATATACTCCACAAATGACCGCAACGTAGATTAAATAGGTACGGAGTATGTTACAAGTCGACTCGTCTCTATATAGGCAGATCGTAGTAATTAGTCCCTTTCTCACAGATGTAAGAGATTCTATTCACAATTGTAACGCCAACCAGAAAATCTATATCTATATCTATATATATCTCTATGTATATATAATATACAGTACAGTATACACCCATCATCTAGTCGTTCACATCATTAAGCAGCCGTATCGACATCAGAGTTCAAGATATTGTCATCGTATCTCCCCGGCACAGGAATCTCGACCTTGCTGGCGTCAAACTCCCACGCCGCCTCCCGCGACTCCCGGTCGTGCCGGATGTACAGCGGCAGAAGCCACTCCTTGAGCCGCCCCTCCAGCGCCCCGGTATCTCTATACCGATCCCACAGTTTGCGCGACGCCTTGAACGCGTAGTTGACCGCGTCCCGTCTCAGCGTCTCGTACGCTGCGAAGGCGGATTCCAGCGGATGGTCGATGTATTGCGCCAATACGCGGGAGAACAGAATCGCGTCGTCTAGCGCGTATGCAGCGGATTCGTCGCGGGGGAGCATCTGTGGAGTCTGGTTAGTTGTGGCCTCTTAAACTGATAGATGCATAGATGGAGACTCACCGCGTGAGCCGCATCACCCAGCAAGATAGCCCGTTTCGTATACCATCTCCTGCCAGGCGCAACCTCGTAAATCGGATACAACAGCCATTCCGTGTCCAGACGCACGGCCTCCCGGATGCAAGGCACGGCGGAATCGCCGAAGCGGTCGACGACCTCGCGCCGCAGCGACGAGTGGATCAGCGCCTGCCGGCGCGGATCCGGCCTGTTCTCGTTCAGTCGGTGGTCCTGCACCGCCACTTCGCGGCACTGCACCATGGCCGACAGGAAGATCTCCTCGTGGTTCTGGTCGCAGAAGCTCATCAGCAGCGAGCCGTGGCGCGAGACGTTCAGCGCCGTGGCCCGGAAGTGCACGGGCGAGGCGATCTGGCCAGCCGCGACGGTGGTCTGCACGAGCGAGAAGCCCGTGTAGCGCGCGCTCTGGCCCGGGTCGATGATCTCTATCCTCGACGCCGAGTGCACGCCATCGCACCCCAGCAGCAGATCCCCCAGGGCGGTGGATCCGTCCTCGAAGTGCAGCTGGATCTTGCGCTCCGTCTCGAGCCCGCCTACCAGCTTCTTGCCGAAGACGACGTCGACGTTGGGCGTCTTCTCGAGCGCTGCCAGCATGGCCAGCAGGAGCGTGATGCGCAGCACTCGCCGCCCTTTGTATCCGCCATAGCCCTGGCCGCGCTGGTCGGTGAAGTCGAGAGAGCCGAGCGACTTGCCCGTGCGGACGGAGAATACCTCAATGGCGTCGACTTCGATGCCAGCCTCGGGGCCGAACCGGTCGAGTTCCTGCAGCACGCCCAGGTACGCGAGATGGCGCTGGGCGACTGGGCTCACGCTGATAGCGCCGCCAGAGGTGGATGGGACTTCATGCCGCTCGAAGACGGTGATGTGCAGCCCAGGGACGCGCGGCGTCAGCTCTTTGGAGAGGGCGAGAGCGCTGCAGAAGCCGGAGATGCCACCGCCGACGATGAGAATTCGCATTGACGGATTGGATATGATGGATGAACTGTGGTTCACTCCAGTCTGAAGATTCAATGAGCGTGATCAACTATGACAAAATGTCAGCGAGATTCTCTGCACATATAACAACAATAACGACCTTAAAGGAAACAAATTAATACTGCGGAGTCCGTAAGAAATCGCATATCGGGCCCGCCGACAGAACAGCACCGTCAAATCCCGAGGCTGGACACAACCCCACAGCTCCAAACAGTGCATGCTCAAGCAAGCCCCATCAGCCCATCAACCTGATGCATCATGCACGCCATGCAGACCCTTGACTGCGGAAACGCACTGCCTGGGCAAAGTTTTCCTTCTCCTGCTCGAGTCGTCAGTTGGACGCGACGGACGCTGATTGGTGCACGCGGGCCGGGATTCATTAACCGCCCGTCCGCTGACAGATCCGATCGGGCCAATCGGAGTGAGGCACTCTTGTCGCCTGACGCAATGATGAATCATGACAGCCGGCAGCCAATCACGTGGTGGACTGGTTTGATTACAGAAAAGAGCTGGTGACAGGCAGATAATGATATTAAATTGCAATTTATTAGAGACTGGGTCATGATGGTTCTAGATACACAAAAAGGAAAATTCACTTTATTGTAGGTAAGTATACAGCTAAACCAGCTAGCAATAAATTCGTATCCTATCTGTCTCACTGTCATACAGGACACATATATACCCATATAGCCATCTAAACAGTAGCCAACATCATCCATAGACCCAGCTCATTTCCCATGAAATACCATCATCATCATCATCGTCATCATATCAATATACAAAAGAGTAGTAGAAAGAGGACAAAGAGTAGACGTAAATCATGCCATCGTCATGACGCGTTTACTCAATCGTAATCCGCTTCGTCTGCGCTGTCGCCGTCTTGGGCACCGTGATGGACAAGATGCCGTTCTTCAGGCTAGCCTTGACATTGTCCTGGTCGACGGCTGCCGGGAATGTGAACGTGCGGCTGAACTCGCCAATCGACCGCTCCGACACCCAGTATCGGTGGTCCTGCTGCTGCTCCTCGGCGGTCTTTTCCACTGCTTTGGTTTGTTGTTGTTGTTGTTGCTCGCCACCGGCCCCGGCTCCGGCCTCGCCCGTCTCGTAGTTGCGTTCCGTGCGGCCCCGCACGACCAGCGTCTTGGGGTCGGTGAACTCGATTGTGATGTCCTTCTGGTCAATGCCCGGCAGCTCGCCGTCTAGATAGTAGGCGTCGTTGCTCTCGCGCATGTCGAATCGCGGCGCAATCGTCCGCAGGCCGCCACCGCTGTAGAAGTCCGGACCGAGACGGCGGGAGATGTGGTCGGTGTATTCGTCCAGCAGCCGGAAGAGAGAGGAGAACTCGCCGGCTGGAGGCCAGCGAGGCAGCAGCGAGAATGCTCTGACGGGCGAGGTGGTGGCGACATGGAGTGAAGATGGTGTTCGGGTGGCAGCGGGTTTCGTGACGCCCGCGTTGGAGAGACGCTGTCTCGAGCGAGGGAGAGTTCGGGATGCACTGCGCGATAGCATGGTGGATATTCTCTGTATGATCTGATATGACTGGCGATTATCTTGCTCGTGAATCACTCAGTAATCTGATCGCGATATGTCTGGTCTGATGTGGGAGTAGCTGAGGGGCATATTTATACGGTTTCGCCATGTCGGGTCGATATCCGGATGGAGGTTCTGGAAATTACTGGACGAGACTCGATGAAGTCAGAATGAGCGTGAACCTTCTCGCCTCGAATGGAAGAAACACACGTTGCCCGGATGCGGCGACACAGCCAGGATCGACAACGGGCGACTCCAGCTTGATGATCGGTACCTTCTGGCCGTTTCTCGACGCGTCAACCTCGTGATGCTTTGCTCTTGCTGGCAGATGCCATGTGACCGTTGTCGATCAGATGGCCCGTCCGGCGCGCTGATTGGCGGGCAGCGGAGGGGAGCGTGGCGAGGCGTCGATTCGTCGAATGCTCTAGACTGGCCCGCCCCACCGGCTGCCTTTTCCGATCCCAGCCAATCAGCTGCATCCACCACCCGCGCCTTCCCAATATGTTCCATGTGCAGGTCTTTCCGCACGTGGTAATCGCAGTTGACAACACGGCGTGTCAGAAGAGGAAGCAGCAATGCCCTGATCGGGTCTCGAAGATGATGACGTTGACGATTTCAACATCGTCCACGTTGCAGGAACAAAGGGCAAGGGAAGCATGCATCTGTGTCTTTGTCTATTCTTCCTTCGCGATCACGGTTTGACAATGGGATTCTATACGTCGCCTGACTTGACATGTCTCTATGAGAGAATTAGATCGATGACCAATCGATAACAGAAGATCTTTTGCAAATACTTCAACAGCTGGCTTTGGTAGCATTGCATATGATCACCCAGGAGAACGTCGAGGCAGCTATATTTGAGATCCTCATGGCGGAGTTACGACACAACATGTTATTCGAAAGCTGGCATAAAGCAGGGATTCTCAAGATAGGGGCCCTGCATTCTCGCTCCCGGTTTTCACACTGTTCCTTAAAGTTTTCTGCTCACAGGATCAATTGCTCATTGACCCTTTCTCTTTCTAAGGCTTTTCTGGACCGTCGAGCTTTTCCAGGACATTGCATGACTTCCGATGACATCTCTCGTGGTATTGAAAACTTTCCCTGGCCTGGAATATTCGAAGTCATCGGAGATGGTAAGATTCAATGGCTCGTTGATGGAGCACACAACGAGCTGAGAGTGAAATGCGTCGCGGAGTGGTTTGCCAACAATGCACAGCACACGCATTCTTCGATTTGGTCATATTTTGAAACAGCGCAACGGAGCAGCTCTACTGGAGCAATTGGCCCGGTTCTCAAGGAGAAAGGTGTACTACCGGATCGTGTTATCTTCACTGGGACCGCGAATGAGCTGTCCCAGCCACGAATGCGGTTAAGTATGCAAAAGTAATCGATTTCTCAACTGCCGTCTCTTAGAAAATATCGCACCTCCTGACCATATACTCTAAAATCTGGCAGAATTTCGACTCAAGAGCTACCGTTTGGGCCTCTCTGTCAGTCGAGGAGGCCTTAGCGATTGCGCCAAAAAAAAATCCCAGAAGAATATTGAGATGCAAGCACTGGGAACAGGGAGCCTCCACATGACTGAATCTTCTAGCACAGCTTCCAGAACCGGGAGATCATCGACTAGTAGACTTGGCAATCTTGAGATAAATTCGCCCTTTGAGAATTTCTCCAATCAGAAATACCAATTATTTAATGAACCCTATGGTCTGTGTATTACCCCTGATCACCCATGATTACGGTCGACTTGGCAGACGGCCCCCAACGGAAGCCGGCCCGGTGCCCTCGTGGTACACTGGGATCTCCACTGATCTTCCTCACCATATTTCTCGTATTAGGCAGTCCATGCCACCTGCTCTCGAGGCGCTACTCTTGAGGCGGGCTTCATAGAAATACCGCTTCCGATTAATTTTTGCCGTAATCACTGGCCTGATATATACTCCGTGCGGGAAAATGCACGTGACAGGGCGCAACAAAGGCAATTGAGTTTTTTTTTCTTTTTACGTCGAGGCATTCTGTGAGACATTTAAGGATCCCCAGGCACAGGCCAGAAGGCTGCCAAGCCGCCGATCGAGCTGCTGCAAAGGGTGTCTACCGGGCCGATATTGTTTGAAACGAGTCTCGAGTAAGCTCTAAGATCAAGCTCTACCCCAGACTGCTAAATTTAGCGCCATGCTCGTGGGGTCACCGTGCGACGCCAACTTTATCGCTTCCTGCTTACTTGTTGTGGAATAGTGATCGACGATTTCTCCTCCGGCAATCCGGCTTTTCGCAGCGAGAATCGCCGGAGAGATACGGCTTAGGGGTGACACGGTCGTGTCTAGCGCTCTCCGTGATGTGACGCCCCCCTCATCTTATCGACGATGGCGATGGTACTTAAGTGACGTCGTGCAGCCTCCTGCGAGGGAGGCAGATATGGAAGCCAGCAGAACTTTGCACAATGGGTACTCTATCAGCTGTCACGGCGGTGCTGGCATTGCTTGCTCCGGCAAGCCTTGCTGCCTCGCCTGCCATCGTCTCGTCCCCCGGTGACACGGCCATCATCCCAGGATGGAGCATGCAATCCGTCCTCCACGCGCCCTCGAACCTCACGGCCCTGTCGCAGCCCGGCGCGGACGTTTCGTCATGGTATCGCGTGGGCTCGCGTGCCACCGCAATGGGAGGCCTCATCGAGGCCGGCGTCTACAACGACTCGCAGCTCTTCTTCTCCGACAACCTCAACAAGGTCGTCGATCGCACAGTGTTCAACACGCCCTGGCTGTACAGAGAGGAATTCACCGTCAATGTGCCACCGGGCCAGCATATCTTCCTGATCATCCACGGCATCACGTCCAAAGCGGACATCTACATTAATGGCTTCCAGATTGCAGACAGCTCCTTCCAGGAAGGCTCCTACGGAGGGCACAAGTACGAAATCACCAACTACCTGCGTTCTGGCCCGAATTGCCTTCTGATCCAGGCGTACCCGACCAACTATCTGCGGGACTTTGCCATGGGCTTCGTTGACTGGAATCCCTATCCCCCGGACAACGGCACCGGAGTCTGGCGCGACGTCCAAATCTCTCAGACAGGGCCCATAGCTCTCGCACCGTTGCGCGTGGTGACTGACTACACCCCTGGCGCGACCACAGTAGCCATCACTGTGAAGACAAACGCCACGAACCTCGAGAGCAACGCCGTGAACGGGACGATCCAGGGCCTCATTCGCTCGGACGATGGCTCACAGACTATTCCCCTGTCGCAGTCGTTCAGTCTGCAGGCCCGTGAAGAGAAGACCATCGCCATTACCGTCCAAGTCGACAATCCCAGGATCTGGTGGCCAGCATTGTGGGGAGAGCAGCCTCTCTATTCTGTCAGCCTCAATGCCTCCGTCGCGGGATTGGTGTCGGATGTTGCCAGTCCCAGAAACTTTGGCATCCACCAGATCACATCGCACCTCAATTCGCACAACGACACGGCCTTTACTGTCAACGGACTTCCCTTCCTTGTGCTCGGAGGAGGCTACTCGCCCGATATGTTCATGCGGTGGGACGAAGACCGCGTCCAGAAGCAGTTCCAGTACATGCTGGACATGGGACTCAACACCCTTCGGCTGGAGGGCAAGCAAGAGCACCCGGAACTCTTCGACCTGGCCGACCGCATGGGGTTGATGGTAATGGCCGGCTGGGAATGCTGTGACAAATGGGAGGGGTGGACTGTACGTTCCAGTTTATCCTCGAGATGAGACCTTTTGCTGACTTGGTTCTCTCTAGTACAATGACGAAGCCGACGGCGTCAAATGGGACGATCATGACTACTGGATCGCCAACTACTCCATGCTGCACGAAGCGGCCATGATGCAGACGCACCCCAGTGTGCTCGCCTTCCTGGTCGGTTCGGACTTCTGGCCTGACGACCGGGCGGCACAGATCTACGTCGACGCGCTCCACACCTGGGACTGGCCCAACCCGATCATCGCATCCGCCGCAGAACGCGGATATCCCAAGATCCTGGGATTGTCGGGAATGAAGATGGCTGGCCCGTACGACTGGGTGCCGCCCAACTACTGGTACGGGGGCAAGGAGGGCGCTGCGTTTGGCTTTGGGTCCGAACTGGGTGCGGGCGTCGGCACGCCGGAGATCAGGAGCCTGAGGAAGTTCCTGTCGGAGCAGGATCTGACGGATCTGTGGACGCAGCCGGGCAAGGGCCTGTTCCACATGTCCAGCAGCGACTCGCAATTCTACAACCGCTCCATCTACGACGCTGCCTTGTACGCACGGTATGGAGCGCCCACGAGTCTGGATGACTACCTGCTCAAGGCGCAGATCATGGACTACGAGGCCACCCGGGCTGAATTCGAAGGATTCGCGGCGCTGCAGAATGCAGAGCGGCCGGCCACTGGAGCGTAAGCGATCTAACCTTTTTTTTACAAACATTTACGGCGCAGGAACTAATCCCTTGCAGGATCTACTGGATGCTGAACGGCGCCTGGCCGAACCTTCATTGGCAGCTGTTCGACTACTACTTCAGCCCGGCGGGATCGTACTTTGGAACCAAGATGGGCGCTCGTCCGGAGCATGTCGCATACGACTATGAGGCGCATAACGTCTACCTGATCAACCGTCACAACGCGCTGGCTGCGAACGACCAGGGCACGCGCACGGTCTCGATTGATCTGATCGACACGACGGGCAAGCCTTTGTCACGGCAGAACATCACGGCTCAGACGAAGCCCAACTCGTCGCAGGGGGTGGCCACGGTCTCCGGCATCAACAAGATCAAAGACGTTGCCTTCTTGAGGCTCGTCCTGCAGGACCCTGCGTCGAAGACGGTGCTCAGCCGCAACGTGTACTGGCTCTCTGCGAAGAAAGACACCCTCGAGTGGAACGAAACCACCTGGTGGTACACGCCCACGACGTCGTACGCGGACTACACCGCGCTCAACAAGCTGGCCAATGCCACCGTCACGGCGAGTGTGCAACCCGCACCGAACAGCAAAGCAGGAACCACCAGCCTGTCCGTCGCGCTTGAGAACAAGTCCGACGTGCCGGCCTTCTTCATCCGGCTGGTCCTGACGGACGCGCAGACGCAGGACGCCATCACCCCGGTGTACTGGTCCGACAACTATGTGACGCTGTTTCCGCAGGAGAGTCTCACTCTGACGGTGGAGTTTAACTCGACTGCTAGCAGTCCGGCGGTTGAAATCTCCGGCCGCAACATTCCGACGAGCTTGATCAAGTGATTGACCAGATGTTGACCGTGTATATGTAGCTAGTACTATTTGTATATCAGTAGTCATTGGATTAGTGTACTTTAGTGTCAATTCAGATTGTTTCCGTTTCATGGAAGTAGCACTCCGTAGGTTTCTTGTTTCGATACTGCATTAACTTTACGCATGCACTCTAGGCCAGTAGAATCGTCAGTGTTTCACTGTCTATCTCATTCTTCTCCGATTTTGCTGGATAAAGAATTCAATTCCCTCCCGTGACCAAGTCTGACAAGAAATCTGCACGAGACGAGATGCGCTTAGGCAATCGACCAGTCAAGCAATGAGATCGGGGAACGTGGACCCAGGCAAGAAATACCTGATGACAAACCTGAAAAAGCCAATTCGTCCGTCTGACAGAGTACGGAGTACGAATACGGAGTATCCGTACATCTACCTCTATACCTACTCCTGGGCGGTTTGGCTTGTGCACTTTGCCCCCTTTAAATCATCATCATCATCTCTTTCCTTCTACATCACTATTGTCATTTCTTCTCGAGTCCGCTTTCCATTATTTTCCTTTTTTCCCCTGTATATCCTCTGGATGCTTTGACGTCATTCCGAGAAGTCTCCGGGATGCCGAGGTCGGCCCGTCCGGCTGAGTCAGCAGCGCATCCGATACCGGATCCGGCTATTGTCGGCAGCTGTATATCAACATCGATATAAAAGCAGGACTGCAGTTGCGATGGACCAGAGGAAATAACAGAAAAGACAGGTGAAGTGATCCTGTCGATTCGTCTATCTATTTTTTCATCTGTCTTTTTTTTTTCTTATTTTACAGGGAGGCGGTTATATTGTAATCCTGTCTGTTGAGGCTTCAACTCTGATACGGATATCTATATATCTTCACCAAAATCTACCTACCATGGCAAATAGCACAACCAAACCCGTGTCAGCAGCAACGCTGCTTCGACAGAAGCTGGAATCAGGATCCTTCATCCTTGCTCCGGGTGTGTATGATGGTTTCTCGGCCCGAATTGCCCTGTCTGTCGGGTTTGATGCGCTGTATATGGTATGTACTGTACCGTAATCCGCAGAGTGATACGCTTACTAGACAGTTATCATTCTTGGATGGATTTTTTTTTTAAAATGGAATTATGTCCGGCAATTCTTCTATTGTATAAGAATCTTTCGTATAACATGCTGACTGTTTCAGACCGGCGCAGGAACCACCGCCTCCATGCACGGCCAGGCCGACCTGGGCATCGCAACGCTGAACGACATGCGCGCCAACGCCGAGATGATCGCCAACCTGTCGCCGTCAGTCCCGCTCATCGCCGACGCAGACACGGGCTACGGCGGCCCCATCATGGTCGCCCGCACGACCGAGCAGTACGCCCGCTCCGGCGTCGCGGCGTTCCACATCGAGGACCAGGTCCAGACCAAGCGCTGCGGCCATCTCGGCGGCAAGATCCTCGTCGACACGCCCACCTTCGTCAGCCGCATCCGCGCCGCCGTCCAGGCCCGCCAGCGCATCGGCAGCGACATCGTCGTCATCGCCCGCACCGACGCCCTGCAGAAGTACGGCTACGACGAGAGTCTGGCCCGGCTGCGTGCCGCGCGCGACGCCGGCGCCGACGTCGGCTTCCTCGAGGGCGTCAGGTCCAAGGAGGAGGCGCGCCGCATCATCAAGGACCTCGCGCCGTGGCCCATGCTGCTGAACATGGTCGAGCACGGCGCCACGCCCACCATCTCCGCCGCCGAGGCCCAGGAGATGGGCTTCAAGATCATGATCGTCCCGTTCGCCGCGCTGGCGCCCGCCTACACTGCCATCAAGCAGGGCCTGGAGCGGCTGAAGCAGACCGGTCTGCCCGGCACGGGGTCCGAATTGACGCCGCAGGCTCTGTTCCGCGTCTGCGGTCTGGACGAGAGTGTCCGTATTGACGAGGCGGCTGGAGGGTCGAATTTCGAGGGAGGTGTCGACCTGCCGAAGTAGGGCAGAGTACGCTGTCTGCAGACAGGACAAGTCCGGCATGAAACTAAGAACCACATGGATTTTCTGGGGGATTAAGCCATGAAGATATTGATTTAAGAAAAGCACGGCAAGTCACCAGAAATGAGATTACAGGGCTCGAAGACCAGTTGATTATGTAAATACATGCATGCATTATGTATACAGAACTCGACATGAAAGGTTCTATGTACATACATAAACATACATACTTGTTATGGAATATACAAGAATAACAGTACTAACATTGATAAGATCTAGAGAGAGCCCGGTATGCTTTTATCTATTCCTAGTTCTTCCTTCTTTTCCTTCCTTAGTTCTGGCTGTTGGTCACAAAAGTCCCTCCTGGACTGCTTCCTCGAGGAATTCCCCGCCATCGAATTCAGATGACGACCGTTGCTGTAGCTCGTCTGCTCGGCTGGAAGGTTGGGATAGGGTCTGGCTTGCCCTCTGGGTGGCCCAGCACACTTTGTCGCTCTCTTTGAGGGCTAGACAGCACTGGATACCATCCTGCACGAGGCCGATGCACTATGGGCGGTGGATGCAGAGATCTATAATCACATGCCCATGAATTGAGCATGCGACAGAGCCAGGGCAACCTTTGCAGGAGTTGTTAATCTGAATACTTTCCGCGACAAGGTGGCCTGGATTCAAGCATCAACACACATCACAGAGGTGCGAGATGTGTAGTGTAGGCTGGTCAACACCAGTAGCGACGACGGAGACAATGTGTATGAGAAATGCGGTCCGGGTTGAGCGGCCCTGCCGACCCATGTTGCGGTTCTTCTTCGTGTACATACATTACACCTGGCCGTATCCGTCGGGTTTTAGATATCTCTAATACAGCCAGCAGCCGGTCGCTGGGTGGTCAGGTACAGCGCTGGTGACGATGTTGGTGTCGTTGGGCCTGAAATCGGCGAAGTAGCTCTGGGACGTCTTCCTGGAGCTGACTGCTGGGTTGATCTCACAGCTCCCCTCGAACTTGTATGTAGGTAGCTAGTTGATATCGAGGCCGTCTCAATTTCTTTGCGGATATGGTGGTATCTAGGTATGTACCATCTGTCTGTCTGTGGCTTAATTAGTACTAAAGAAACTGACCTGGAACGAAATGTCGCAGATTGGAAGCTTACAAACAGTTCCCCCGATGGTATTCCCGGTGCGTTTCCACTCATGAGAGCGAATCTTTTCTCGGAGAAAGAAAAGGCAATGTACATACTGTACGTCCTCTTTTGATTGTACCGTAACACACCATCACGCCATGTTTGTAAAATTTGACATATCTACCAACACAGAGAATCTCGTCTCCTCCCCTCCAATATCCAACCCGGGCGTAAAGGTAGTCGCCCAATTGTATGGCCCCATCTGTCTGTCCATGTTTGGAGCTTTTTCGGCCATCATGGTCAGACCCTTTGCACTGGACAATGAGGAATAGCCGTTGCCTGGGCATAGGCCACTGCTTGCGACCAGTATGTTGAACAATCCGTTTCAGCTCAGACTCAGCAAAACGGAGAATGTATGTACCCAGGAACGAGGAAGTCTCCTGCAGGCACGTAATGACAACATAGCCCCGCGTAGTTGCAATGCTGCCGCAACATAAAACTGCTGGATCGGCAGAGTGCACCAGATAATACATTTATTCGTTCCGATCGACGCAGCATCGTCTGCTTCCATCCTCTGTAGGCAGCCTGCCAGCCGGCATCATTTTCTTCCTTATCCAGGTGCTCGAGCCACGTCTCCATCCCTGAGCAGTGTAAGATGTTTGCGGAGGCATATCGTTTAACCACAGTATCGCATTTGTCGAGATCTTTCCATTGGAAGGTTTTGCACTTCAGGCTAGACAGGCACAGTGATCCCGCTCCATCAATTCGTGCTTCGTATTGTTCCAAGACAGTGTTACGACCGTACCACGGGGTCAAGTGGCGCGAATGGCTGGGGAGGAGGGCAATAGCGTACCGGTCGTTTTGGCGGACTTGTTCCGTAACCAGATTTCATATCGAGCTTCGGATTCTGGACGTAGATGTTGTGGTACTCCGGAAAACCAAATGTCGGCTCACTCTGTGTTGCCCTGAGAATCGTGTCCATGTTTGTCCGTAAATCTTTCGACAGCAATTTGGCATTGAACTGCCGATGGGTCATGCCAGGCCTCTCATCAGCCGAAGATTCGGATTTGATAATAGTCAAGTCCGGGATGAGGAAGAACCATAACCAGGAGGTCATTGCAAGAACATTATGCAGATCGCGCGTATTCCAGCGCATCCGTTCGGTGTCCTTATCTTGGTACATGAGCCGCCGCCTCAGATGGGAATACCATCGATTGTGCGAGTCACCCTCAAAAGGATAGTTATCAAATATTCAGTTAAAGGCGCGATGCGTCAACTGAAGGTTGCAGTGGGTTCGTTGTCCAAGACGTGGAAGGATTGAAGCCTTGTTCACATGGAAAAACCATAGCTAGTTTTCATGTGAAGGAGCAGTCTGAACTTCTTCATATTTCCTTTCAATCTTCACGTCTCCCTGTCCTCGTATATGAGTCCACTGCAGATATGAGCGTACCACGGCAGGAATGGCCGGCCTAGAGGCGTGTCCATCTCGGAGTGCGGAGACATGGAGATTGCATAGAGGGGACATGAGTCGGTCGAAGGAAAGTCACCAAATAGACAGACTTTGTGCAGAGGATCTTCGTCGTCTTGCATGGCCGCATATTCCTGTTCGGCTACCTCCTTTTGAGCTACAGCTTTGTATGCCGTCGCAGAAGCAGACCGCTGGGATCATCATTGTTAGCACTGTGTCGTCCTGCTTCTGCGACGGCACAAACAGGGCCTATAGTCAATGTCAGATGCAGACGATATACGGCACCACTGATTGTTTTGTTATAGCAACCAGAAAGAAGCAATGTCGTTTCCGAAGGCGTAGCAACAATCTCGCGGTGAGCCTCTCATTGTCTGGAAGGGATGTTTCTTGCGCTTTTGATGTGTGCAGATGAGTTGGCAGACACAGCTCTGGGTTGTGTTGAATTGCGCAGTGTTAGGTATCAAGCCGTCGAGGGTCCTTTTCTTCCAGGTGTCATACGACGAGAATACAATAGTGGTATCAGTGGTATCGGAGGAAATGTGACGTCCATGGTATTCAAGTGTTTATCTAGATCAGGAGACAGTTAGTCTGATGCCATACTCAGGGCTGGGGCAAAACTCACGATCTCAGCATAGTGGTTAAAGAAGACCATGCCTAACTAGTTACTGTGCTGTGCTTTAATCACCACAGAACATTCTGTATAGGCGAATGAGTGATCTTCGCTGGATTAACTCCTAGAAACTTTCCAATAATTCAAGTTGGAAATCGTTAGGAGTCAGTTCTGTGATGTAGGATTCGAGCTCCTTTGCGGATCCTGCTGCGATACCTTCTGTCCATGAGGCATTCTTTCTCATTTGGCGACAGCTGCATTTGGCTGGCCCGCATCCAGGGAACGACGGACGTAAGGATCGGTATGCGCGATGAGTCGCATCGAGAATCCAATGATAGTCAGGACAGTGGCTAAAATTGTGAAGTACTCCCTGGCCAATTCTGGAGTCCCGGACCAAGAGCTCCGTGGAGTGTTAACATGGAATTGCACATAATTTGGCAAGATAAAGAGATGCATAGCAATAACAGCACGAGCGCAAGTCTCGTGACTGAGGGAAATGACTGCCTCTCCCTTCCAGTATTGTATCGCACATGGTGAGCTATAACAAGCTTCGACTAGGAAGCTGGTGTGCTCTTTCTAGGATTTGTTGACAGCGAGAGGACCGGCTTCTCCGACCCAGTAACGGGCAAAATAGATGCCCAAGAAGATCAAAACGATCCCAGTTGCTCCCGCGATAATCACCCCGACACTGTCCAACCCGGGGCAGGGTCTGTGTCTTTGAGAACGAACTCTTGATCTGGGAGCAAGGAGAGAGTCTCTAGAATAGTTTGGAACTTCATTTTTGCGTTCTCTGTCCACTGACGGACCTGGTTATCGATGACTTTCTTTTCGTCCTGCTGACTGGGCGCTCCCTAAGGTTGTTCCATCAGGAGCTTGAAGTTCTTCATAGCCTGTTCAGCTTTCGAATCGTCGCTCTCAAAACGGATAACTAATGAAATTGGCGTATAGCCCCGCGCGCCGACTGGCGGTTCATAAAGACGTGCTTCCAATTCGTCTTTACTGATTGTAGTTGAGGCGAACGGATAAAGCTTGCAGTTGATTGTTGTATAAAAAACCTTGGTTTGTGTCTGAGAGCGTCCATGACATCCACTTGGCATGCGCCACAACCGGCTGAACGGTCTCCTGTTGAGATGGATGATCATCCACTGTGACCTTTTTGGCAGTCAAATAGGACATGTCCGTGTGGGATGACTTAGGCAGTGTCCATGACTATCGCTCGCAATTCAACCACGGCCAGAGTTTCGAGCGGGATGTTGCGACATCAGCCTGGGTTCTTGCAATGGCATCGGTGCTGTTGAGGAACTCGAGGTAAGACTGGTCATATGACGCGAATGTCAGGTAGATCTGGTGGCGATCCTAGGAGATAAAGAGATGCATCGGCGTCAATATTTACATCATTGATGACGTTGCTGTTTCCAACTGCCGGTCCACCATCGAGCCGGCCGTTTTAAGAGATCTCGTTGACCATGCGTGACAATGATGGACGCATCCGGTGTTAGAAGGCAATAGAGACATCCATGAGGCCTGCCACCACCAACCCAAACTTCTCCTTGTGACGGCCCGTAGTTGCTTCCGTAAAGGAGGTCGGCTATCATCTTCCGGGTGAATCGCGACGATTGCAGTTGCTCGACAATGGCCACGGTTCTTGCTTTGGGGTTTTGGCTTCTTCATCCAGCACAATTAGGGTCGTTTCTCCTCATATACGCTGGTATCTGCTTTGAGACTGGTACAGAATTGTCCCATATCATGCAGACATCCGGTTGGTCATTTCCTGTGTGCTAGCAGTCCTGGCTGAGCCGTCACTGAG